CAACATCTCTTGCTATTTCTATTCTTCTCTCTCTTTCATTCCATAGTCTATAACCATTATTAGCAAATCCAACCATTAACAATTTCTTGCTTCTTGGATCTAATTTCTTTGTATTTGTACCGAGTTGCTTTGCATATACACTTGAACCAAATTTTTGTATATTGGCTAAGTTAGGTCTTTTGTTATACCACATTTCAAATGGAGTTTTGTTGTTTAATGTTTTAGTAGGTAACCTATTTATTAAATATGTAGCACAGTACATGGCTTCACCCCACATTTCCTTATTTAAGTCTGAATCAAACAATAATGCTCTTGTTTTATCAAGCAATGTTCTGTTTAGCCTTTCAGCTTTGCCGTTCAACTGCGGTGTGTATGGTACTGTCAAGTCTAATTTTATTCCCTTTTTCTTACACCATTCTTTAAAATTATTACTGGTATATTCACCACCATTATCACATCTGATTACTGATACCTTTTCTTTTCTTTCTCTTTCCATCTCTTTTATATAATTTATTATATTTTCTTTTACTTCACTTTTGTGTTTTAATAGATATATTTTTGTTAAATGGGTATAGTCATCCATAATGGTTAAGACGTAGTTGTAACCATCATATGTTTTATTTTCAAATGGACCACATACATCTGTATGTAATAACTGTAAAGGTCTATAAGCTCTGGTTCTTACTGTACTGAATGGTAATCTTGTTTGCTTTGCTTGTGTACATATTTCACATATATTACTTTTCATTGACCCTTGTATTTTTATTCCGTCTGCTACCTCTTCTAATATTTCTAATGTTTTCTTTCCTGGATGACCCAATCTCTTATGCCATTCTGTAGCAGTTCCTTCACTTTTCATTAATAATGACTGTTCATTTGTATTTATTTTATCTGACTTCTTTAAATTTATTGTATACAAACCATTTTCTTTTTGTCCTTTTAATAACAATTCTGAGTCTTTATATATTTCAACCTTGTTTTCAGTAAACACAACAGTTCCTTTGTTATTTGTAATGGCATTCACAGATAATAAGTTTTGTGTTAAATCAGGAACATATAATGTTTTTTGTAAATAACAACCATCTCCATGTATAATACCTTGGCCTTGAACTTGTAATGGCTCATTATTTGCAGTTAAAACTGTAGAATATTTCTCTTCTAACTCACTTATTATTTCAATATCATTTGTCATATGTGTTGTACACCCTGAGTCGACAATGAAATTTAATCTCTTGGAATCATTACTTCCTGTTGTAGTAAAAAGTGCCACTTCTGATCTATTTTTATTTATTGACTTATTTTTGTAAAAACAATTTTCTTCTTTATGGTTCGTCTTCTTACATATAGAACACTGTTTTGCTTTGTACTTACAGTCTTTTTCTTCATGGTTATATTTCTTACATATAGAACACATTTTACAATCTTTCTTCATATGTCCTGTTTTATTACATTTATAACATTTTATAATATTTTCCTTTCTTTATGACCTTGAATGCTAGTTGGTTATTTTCACTCTTATTTTCATTTAATCTACTTTCTTCATTTAGTAATCTGTTAGTTAAGTTAGTTAAATTCTTTTTATCATCCGGTGTAGATTCCCATGCAGTAATAAAATAACTCAGGTTATTAGGTAAACAAGTTAATATTTTTGACATGACCATTTCTTCATTTATGTTTTGCCCAATTTGATTCAATCTAAACTTTAAATTTTCAATGTCTGATATTAATTGTGTCAGAGTTCTGTTTTCTAATTTGAAAGTAAAGAATTCTTGTAATAATGAAGACTTATTTCTTTCTTCGCAGCCTTCAAATATATTGCACAGTTTTGTGTACATTTCCAGGGCATTTGAGCAACCTAAAATATGTCCCTTTAATTCCTGTCGATTGTATTAATAATGAGAGATTGTACTTTGGCATCTTTTGTTTGGAAATCGGATATTACTGTAGTCGACTGATCTTGTTTTGGTATCATAACCTCACTTAATTTTTGTGCCTTCAAATAAATGCCCAACTCGAATTTCCATAGTAAAAAACTTTCACCGTCTTTCAATTTTTCAATTTTCACTTCGTCACTCATTTTATTTTGTTTTCTGGTTTGTATTTCTGTTTTTTCCTTCGGTAGCAACACGTGCTTTTCCGGCTGATTTTTCTTGGTTTTATTTTATGATTTTTCGCGGCCTGGGCCCATAACCTGTAGAATTTCAGGTCGCTACGGGGCACACCAGGGTAACTCAAACGCCTTTTTATTATATTGTAACTGGTTAATATAATATACTGTTTTATTTAACACTGGTTTTATTTATTACATCCTTCTCCTATTTCTATTTTTAGCATCTCTTTTAAACCACAGACTACCAAGACATAGATCACAAATGTCACAGATTACTTTACAACTCAACAATAGGTACAATAAAATCGTCTTAGATGCCTTTATTGAAATTGAAATAATAAGCACAAATGTCATCTTTTCTTAAGCAGAGAAAAACTTTAAAAGTTAATAATAATTTTGTCACGATTGGAAATAGGCAAATGTTAAACAAAAAGAAATACTTATTGCTTAACCCTTCAATTGCTGTAGTGCAGCGCTGCACGCCTTCGTGAGTAAAGTCCGTTTGGGGAAGTGTAGATCTGCTCGCTCGTCACCCGCATTCAATTTTTTGCAATTTTGGGAATAAATACAATGCAATACAGTTCAAAGTCTTTTGAATTTTATACCCAGATGAATACACCATTCACTCATTGTGGTGAAGTCGTTCTTATGACCAAACAACCGTTAGTACGACGATTTTAAAATCGAGTATCGGGGAGCTCGCAACTAAAAAGTAATTTTTAAAACAGTTTATTAACAACATTATATTACAACAGTATATTATTTTTTTGCAAAAATCTATTGTTTAGTTATTCAACTTTGAAAAGGTTATCAATGAAAAGCACAAGTATTCGTATAATTTATTCAAATCGCGTTTATGCCACCTAAGGTGCGAAATTGATTTTGTCTACGTTTCCTGTTAAAAATAAAAAGGTTGAAACAATTTATATAGGAAATTACTAAAAAAGAAGGTACATTGACTATCTATAATTGAAATAAAATATTTTGCTGCATGTCGACCGAACGATTTATTAAAGTTATTGAATAAATTTCAAACCGCGTCGAGCGCGCGCTGCGGCCGCGCAATCGTTCCGCAAGCGGGGGGTGTTTTAGGCGGAGGCTTTCCCGCAATTGAAGGGTTAATACCCCAAGAATGAAATTTATAACCAGGTATTCAAAAGTACTTACGAGACCGGCGATTTAGGTAGGTACAACGAGGAACGAGGAACATATTCATTTTTTTCACTAGAACTTTTTATCAAATCAATCACACTGGTAGTACACAATTAGTTGTTTCTAAATCAAAAAGTATTTACACTAGCAATAAAAAGAGACTTAAATTATTATCTGCAAAATTGTTGCTCTAAACCACCATTTTGCTGCAAACAAAGGTTGCCTGTTTGCGGACGTGTCTTTTCACCTTTTTTAAAGTGTCCCTATAACTACTCACTGCACAAAATGCAACTTCTATGGTTTAGGGACTCATTCGTAAACCAAACCTACTTCGTCACACTCGCGATAGCAGTACACCATCTCTAAATATTCTTGGTTTGTATACCGAGGCATAATGAAATTATCACAGTCACCAAGTCAAAAGATGCGCACGCTCACGCGCGATTGATATACTTGCGACTGCGTTTTGCATGCAATCAAAGCAAACGTCCGCGTGCGGGGAAGAGGGGAGGTGGGCGGAATTCACATCATCAAAGACGCCGCAACCGGCGCTAGTTGCCAGCGTGCGGCGCGCCGCCCGCCCGTGCTTGCCGCAAAACAACATATTATTATGTGTGTGTGTGGTGTATGTGTGACTGTGGCTGTGATTAAATGTGTTCGGAATTTCATGACGTGGGCAAATCAGACACGAAGAGTTCCTTCCTTCACTAAGCTCGTAAGTTATACCGATTTGCTCTTAATTTTAAGAAGATTTATTTTATTGATTAATTACCTGTGCTTTATGAAATAATATTCAAAGGTATTGTGTATCAGTGAATAAATAATTATAATATAGCATCTAAGACTATTTTATTGTATTGTTTTTAAATAGTGTGGATCAAAGCGAGTAGGTAAGCGCCGAGTCATCTGTGCGTGTAGTTAGGTATCTACAGGCGGCCGCCGGTCGTCGCCCCGACCGGCGCTGATCTCGACTGGAGGCATAATGAAGGCATTCATTAAGTTTCCGTTTTTTTAGTAGTGCTTATTTTAAGTTGCTTTATAACTTCTATGTAGACGTGTTTAAAATGAATAATTACTCATAAGGAAGAAATGACAAAAAAATAACCAAATAAAAAATTAAAAAACGAAAAACAATATTTTAAAAAATCCGAAAAAAATCAGGCATACTCTATACATGTAACCCATCAATCTCACGAAGTTTCATAGAAACATTCAATTTCACCCTGTATATACCGTCTTAAAATACTAACTAACTAAAAAGTGTGAAATAAAAAGGGTAAATTTAAAAAATCAATAAACCCGACTGCTTAATTATACTTCAAATAAAAACTGAAAAGAAAAAACAAGTCCAGTAGTCTATAATTCTGTTAATAAGGAACAAAGCTACTTTAACAGTCGGGACCCACTGTTGAAAAATATTATGTATTCTTGAATATCTAATGGGTCCCGACTGTTAAAGTAGCTTTGTTCCTTATTAACAGAATTATAGACTACTGGACTTGTTTTTTCTTTTCAGTTTTTATTTGAAGTATAATTAAGCAGTCGGGTTTATTGATTTTTTAAATTTACCCTTTTTATGTAAGTACTTAATAAGTCTGTCCGTGTCCGTTCGTTAGTACATAAACCTCTGTATTACGAAGACAAAGTCACGATCCTCAGCTAGTGAGATGATAAAATGCTCATTTATAACGGTAATCAAGTCTACTTTATCTATATTAGTTTGATAATGCGAATATTTGCTTAACTATCCCAATAATCTGTCGATAACACCAATTGTATTTATTTTATACAGTTTATTAGGCCAAAATGGCCGCGTTTCATATCTGCCGCGTAATATTCTACATAAATATGTAAGTATTGTTTTTGCTTAAATAATAATAGTAATACATACAAAATACTTGGTTATTGAATAAAGTAGTGTACGCTCGCTGTACTCAAAGACTTTAAAGTTAATTCAACATTAAGTCATTATTGTTATCGCTGGAAAATTAACAATAATTATTTAAGCGCTTTATCAAATAAAACTAGTTTGAACGGGTTGATGCACGAACTTTATTTATTTATTGACGTTTCGCAGCCTTTTCAGGTCTGCATCTATTATTCTGACGATGTAGACCTGAAAAGGCTGCGAAACGTCAATAAATAAATAAAGTTCGTGCATTAACCCGTTAAAAGTAGTTTTATTTAATGAGTGATGTGCGTGAAAACCTAAGAAACAAATATGCTTTAATCAAATTTATGTCGTCGATGACGTCTATGAGATTGGCTTAATTCAAGACAAATTTAGTTTCATTTATAAACCTTTTTTTTATTCCTTATCAGCCATACACCGTAAAGGTTAAGCCGGTTCATAAACCTTAATTCGTAACCATTTATAAACCAAAATAGTACCTAAAAATTGTATCGAGAAGAATATAATTTTAAATAATCGGAGGTTTCTGAACCGTTTATCATGAATAATTTGGTGGGGACATTAATAGGCTGATGATGATAAATCTTCAGATATTTATTAAAATCACTTACATACAATGCCGGAATTGCGGTCAAGGGCGGATCCAGCTTTAGCGCCAGGGGGGGGTCATATACCCAGCTTTGGCCCAGGGGGGGTCATATGGTCGTGGTATATTAAATATTGAAAGTACTTAAATAAAATCCCCCTGGGTTTGGTCCATCTGTACCCAGCCCAGGGGGGGGGGGTCATGACCCCCATGACCCCCCCTGGATCCGCCCTTGATTGCGGTGCTGTAATAAATCAGATAGAACTACACCAAGGGTTGCCAGTCAAAGCCTGTAAAAATAAAGCATGCGGGGCGTGGAGAGGGCAGTCGCCGACTGCCTCGACCGAAGGCATGGCAGCAGTGCTGCCATTTTAGCGCTTTGCGCGCTAGATCTAGCGCTTTTCTGGTGTGGTTAGCGCCTATTTCAAAATTTTAGCGCCTAGCGCATAATCTGGCGCTTTTTTCCTTTTATGTCACCGATAATTTATGGCCTAGGGAAAACCCTCTATTATTATTTTTATAGCAGAACTACACTTATTTGTCGTCTTGTGTTGTGACGCGTCAGACAGGGAACCGGTTTCATAAATTGAGTACGGTTAGAATCCTAATCTGTCGCAGAATGTAGTTATACATTCTGCGACAGATTAGGATTGGGATATGTGAATAATATTGTAAGTCAAAAAATACATGAATGGGCATAATGAAGCTGGCCCTATTTAAGCTATGGAAGAATATTTTTGAATTAAGATTAAATATATTTATTTTGACGTTTTGGTTGAATTTTGTCTGTTTTATATTTAATAAAAAAGCTGAAGTTAATTTAGCGCATAATCTAGCGCTTTTTTAAAGCGCGGTTTTCTTGAAATCTAGCGCTTTTTATATGGTTTTAGCGGTCAGTCGGATTTTTGATCTGGCAGCCCTGCATGGCAGTAGCGAAATAGTAAAATAATAGCGTTGCACTGCATTGCACGCACAGATTGACTACGCTACGCAATCTTATTATTATTTAGATTATAATAAGATTGCGTTATAATTATAAAACGAATCGAAAAAGGAGAAAATATATAAAAGTTAGCAATTTCTTATAGTACCTACATTAAAAGATTAAAAATTGATTATAAAAATCAAACCTATCCTTCATTATTTACCCCAGTATCCTTGAATCAGTTTACATTTAATAACTTACTATGCATAAATATTCATTGGCACAAGTCTAAATTCCAAGTTCAACCCTAGCGCATACACGCTCCTGCTCAAGGTCACTGACGCTGGAACTCTCACGTACACAGAGTGTCACCGCTGTGGTTAAGGGGTCCCACATTTTAACGTAAAGAACGTGCGAAACTTATTATCATAAAACAAACACTACACCTTACAAACCATTTGCTCCATCAGCCCATTAATGTCTCCATAGCCGGGGCACAGGTCTTCCCTATGTATGGAATAGGGAGGTTGCAGCGTTACCCACAACGTGGGTACAGGTGGCGGCACGTAACTCTAGCGCTGAACAAAACGCTGGGGGGATAGCTGCGCATGGGTACGACTGGAGAGCCAATCAGCGCAACGCACGCCCACCCGCGCACCTCGTTTCCCCCCAACGCATCCTCATTTTTACTTCTGCGCAATAACGGTTAGCGCTTGAGTTTCGTGCCGCGACTTATAGAGTCTGTGCGGAAAGAGAATGGGCGTGGCGAAAAACGGAACTAACACTAACATTAAGATTTTTATTTGGCAATCAAACCCAGCAATCTGTAAAACGTCTAAGTTTTGTATTGATACGGATTTGTTTGTTGTTGTGATTTCTTGCGGTTTTTTGTATTTAATCATATCTAAAAGGGGTAAAACCTTACAAATACGGTAGAAAAGCACTACAGCTCTCTCCAATCTAAATCCCATTCTCTTTCCGCACAGACTCTACTGTTGGTGAGCGCTAACGTCTATAAGTCCAAGATTGGGCATAGTTGTATGGAGAAACGAATGGTTCTTTTCTCAATAGTTAATAAATCCTGATATTTTAAATAATAAGAAAAGAGTAATTTGACAGTTTTGAGCGAATATAACCTATTGCTGTCTGTGCCATATAAAATCAGTACCTCTTCTTTTTTTTCAATGACGGGGAGAAAAATGCATTAGACGACCTCCGTGGCCGAGTGGTTTGTACGCCTGCTTTCAAGATGTTGCCAACTTTGTGTGATGAATACGAGCAGTTGTATTCCATTCATGGATGTTTAATATATATTGAAGTGAAACTTCTTTATCGGCATTGGCAAAAAATTTACCGTCACATTTTTTCGGTTACGCGTCACCTTTTTTTTGGTTACGCGTCACGTTTTTTTGGTTACGCGCCATCTTTTTTTTTAAAGAGCACTATTTACCTCATCCGAACAATTGCTTCTTCTGTCAACTTTAAAAAAAAAAGTATCGACAGCAAATATTCGTGTTTCACACAAGGTAAGGTAAGGTAAGGTAAGGTAAGGTAAGGTAAGGTAAGGTAAGGTAAGGTAAGGTAAGGTAAGGTAAGGTAAGGTAAGGTAAGGTAAGGTAAGGTAAGGTAAGGTAGGTTAGGTTGATATGAAATTAGCTTAAGAAGATGTTAATATACCGCGGGCGCTTACGGACTGCGCCTTTGGTATTAAGCTTGATTTCAGTTTTCGTTATATATGTGTTTTAGTAAATAGTATTAGTTATTAGTATTTAGGGTTTTACTAATAAGTGTGTTTTATGATTTTAATAATATGAGTTTATGTTTTTCTGATATGGCTTAGTTTACGTGTTATTGTAAGGTAAGGTAAGGTAAGGTGTAGTTATACCCCTTTAGTGGGTGAGTTTTTGAAAAATCTTAGCGCACGCCTATATATATATATTTCTGGAAAGTTGCATGTAGATCATTTTTCGAAAAAAATAAGGCCATAAAGAAGTTTTACTTCTTACGTGTGTACACTAGTACACGCACACATTTTTTTTCTGTATAAATATACTTATATAATGTATCAGTTTATGTATTCTATCCGTTACCCTAGTATATCCTTTGAGTGTTTAGATACTCAAAGCCCATATCACAAGCCTTACAGTGCTTACTTTGGGGGTAGGCTTATTGGTGTGAGTGTTGGAAATATATATTTAAGGCTATCAGCGCGAAGGTGGCCAAACCCTCAATTATTCCTGCTTCCTATCCTCATCTGATCCGCTGATCAATTTCTCTGTCTTTATTCCTCTTTAGGTCCCATCTTGCCTATTCTCTTTGGCAAGTGGGGTAACCCCCTACTTTAAATCTGTCCCCTTCTTTCATCACATCCAAGGGCGGATCCAGGGGGGGTGTCATGGGGGTCATACCCCCCTCTGGGCTGGGTCCATCTGTACCGACTGGTATAGATTGTGAAGTACATTACAATCTGTACTTCACAATCTATTCCCACTGTGACTTGACCACGACTATATGACCCCCCCCTGGCGCCAAAGCTGGATCCGCCCTTGATCACATCGTCCATGCAGCATGGTATTGCTGACGGACGATTTTGGTAACGGGCTTCCGGACACATATGACGGTCGCCCGGACACCAGTAGCATTTAGAATCATTAGTTAGAACATGTACAATATGTGAACTATATCGAACCAAGTGAAAACTCAGTTATATACATAACTCTCAATTATTCATATTCATTCAGATTCATCTTCTACAAATAAATAAAAATGTGTGAAAATTTCAAATTCGGCATATCTCTTGTTTCACTAGGCGTCAATAGATGGCGTTGCAAAAGTTCTTTTTGCATTGTTTTTTTTCTCTCTACGTAAATTTGATAAGTGGCCTAAGCCGCTTAATCAGAATATGAATAACTAGCGGCCCGCCCTCGCTTCGCTTCGGTGTAGAGCTGAAGTGTAGACTACAGTTTTTGTTCTCATGCTTGTATTATACACAATGACATTCATCTATGATTCTTCTTATACCTGCATGCAAAGTCTCAGCCCGATCGTTTTAAAATTGTCAAAGTTTCATACAAACTTTCATTCCCTATTTTGTCCCCTTGAGGGTAGAATTGATCAAAATCCTTTCTTAGCGGATGCCTACGTCATAACATCTACCTGCATGCCAAATTTCAGCCCGATCCGTCCAGTGGTTTGGGCTGTGCGTTGATAGATCACTATGTCTGTCAGTCCTTTGAGTTTTATATAAGTTCGGCCACTTTTGCGCTGACAGGCTCATTTATTATATCCACGACAATGACCGACGCCGCTTTAGTGACCTAAATCAGTATACCTAACTTATGCAAAGTTTCCTAATTAGATTAGCATCCAGTGTAGTTCCCGGGCACATCCCGATGCGTTATTTCAATTGGGCCGAACCTGACATGCCTGATTTCGGTAAGTATTAGCACATCCAATTTACCAATAGGGATGATGACTATTTTTTTTTCTTCGTTTATCAGGTAGATTATCATAAAGTATTGGACACGTATTTTTTCTTTTTTCACATAATATAAACATTGCTGAAATATATTGATTTGAAAAGTCGCAATGACGTCACGTTTTGGTACAATTTAAAGTGAAAATTCACTCAGTCATTTTTTGGTTGATTGCCCGAAGAAAAAATACGTGTCTATTATTTTTTGATCATCTAACTGACGGACTAAATAGAATATCGTTTACTGTACCCCGTCATCACCCCTATTGCCTCAAATACATGAAATAAATCTAAACTCCGAAACTTCAAAAAGTTATGAAACGTAGCTCTTTGCTTGTAGATTACAGGAAAACTAGCAAACCAGTGAACCAAATGTTCACCAAAACCTGATTTAAAAAAAAATGTATTTAATTAATTGAGAACTTCGGAGATTTTGTGTGGTTTCGTTTGAAATTCGTGATTTCTCGAAAACCGGAAGTGCTACGTTACTCAAATCCGGTTTGTAGTCTTATCAGACTATTCTTAACTTATAACTTAAATATTCTGTTTATCTATCTCTTACGGTTTGGCCGCTGAAACAGCACCACAGATGGACGGACGGACTTGTCTAATAGATAAGAGATAAGTTTATTGTATAATGGAATGAAACCCTTCGTGCGCGAAGCCAACTCTCACTTGGCGGGTTTTAAATAATATGTATGAAAGATAGTAAGTAGATCTTTGGAGGAGCTCGATGGCGCAAGTGGTTAGCACGTTCCGCTGCGATCGTTGAATTTAAGCAACTTTCGCAGTGGTCGGTCATTGGATGGGTGACCGAAAATTTACTATCTCGAGCTCCTCCGTGCTTCGGAAGGCACGTTTAGCCGTTGGTTCCGGCTGCATCTGCAGTCGTTAGCACCCACTAACCCGCACTGGGCCCGCGTGGTGGGTCATGGCCCAATCTCCCTATTCCATCCATAAGGAAGGCCTGTGCCCCAATAGTGGGGACATTAATAGGCTGAATGATCTTTAAATGTAAAGAAATTGTTAAGAGAAAAAAATCCACGCGAATCAAGGCAGCAGACGGGACTTGAACCCGGACCCACCGCTATCCGGGCGAATGCACTGACCATTATGCTACCGTGGCCCTGATGGCCGTGTCGAATTTTCTCTAGCACGTTTTAGGATGCAAGGCTTAAAACATTGTGGGTTAACTACAATGCGAAGAAATGGCGCTGCCTTGCAGCCTCAGAAGTGCTAGAGAAATTTCGACACGGCCATCAGGGCGTGGTGGCATAAAGGTCAGTGCATTCGCCTGGAAGGCGAAGAGTGCGGGTTCGAGTCCCGTTTGCTGCCTGGTTCGCGAGGAATTTTTTCTAGTAATATTTTCTTGACTATACATCTTTTTAATTTGCTGTTATAAAATTTTTATCTTCTGTAGCTTTAATTTTTTTTTAAATATAGAGTGAATTGGATTAATATTTTTTTTTAATTTTTCTGCTTGGGTTTCCTTTAAGTGACATACGACTCGATATCCGCGAAGGCAAGCAAAGAAGGCAGTGCACAACGTCTGAAAGCAGTTCGAGATGTGATGAAAGAAAATGGTGTTGATGCATACATCATACCTACAGCTGACGCGCACAATGTAAGTAATATGATATTAAAATTTGTTTGAAAGGCAGACCTGAGGAATTGTTCGGATTAATTCCAGCTGCTGCATTTCGCCATCGTACATCGCGACAAAAATTTCATCCCCATCATCTTGATGCGTGGCTATCCACAACCGTGCGTTTTTGTCGAATTTTTTTACCACGTACGACAAAACTGTGGAATATGTTGTCGCCAGCAGTGTTTCCGGACCGATACGACCCAAAAACCTTCAAAAAAAAGAGCGTACTCCTTCCTTAAAGGCCGGCATCGCATTTGTGATACTCCTGGTGTTGCAAGTGTCCGTGGGCGGCGGTGATCACTTACCATCAGGTGAGCCGTCTGCTCGTATGCCCCCTATAACATAAAAAAAAGACCCCTCTTTCCCAGTGGGCACTTTGGGCAAGTGCCCAGGGCCCCGCGATCAATAGGGTCCCCCCTCAAATCAGATACAAAGTCCCTAGTTCCTGTCAGATCACCAAACGATAACCAATATTTATTACCAAAAAACTTATATAATTCTTAGATTAAAACAAAAAAGGGTAGATACGGTACGCTCATACTAGCATCAAACAAAATATGATCCGAATCAACTACATCGCCACGCACACGTCTGTATATAAACATCAATCGAGCGAGCGAGACCGAACTATACGCTTCAACGCAGAGTATTGTTGTCCTTTTCTTGCTTATAAAATGGCGTTTACGTAAATAATTTACGTTTATTTATTCACGACAAAACTTCGGACCTAAAAAAAGACAAACCGTGATTTTTGAGAAGAAAAAATATTTTCACAGGTTTACGCACGAAAAGCGTTGCCGGGGCATTTGATTTTGAACTATTTTTCTTCTTTATAAAAGGCATTGTTTTATCTTCATAACACAGAATGTACGCAATATTGTTATATTGAGTGTACATGCAGCGTGTTTGAATGTCAAATTGTGACTAAAGCGAATTGTGGTCGTGGACCACAATTTAAGCGGATCACCGCAAATGCCGTATCTTCCCTTTTTGTTTTAATCTAAGATATAATTCGATGAAATCGATCCTAAATGACTGACTACAATACCAACTTACTAGCTTTTACATAAGCGAAGCTATTCTACTCTCGCCCAAAAATTAGGCTTTCCGACTTCAGCATGCTTAGATAAATGATTGTATACTAAGCACATCAACATTTTAAAGAAAAATTATCAATAGTACATTTCAAGTCATAATCCGCATAAAAGTGAAATGAAAAGTCATTTATTCAGTCTAGGCTGTTACAAGCACTTGTGAATGTCAAGAAGCTACGCCATCCGTTCGCAAAACTACGGCGGGAGACCTTGTACTGAGAAGAACCGGCAAGAAACTCAGCAAGGGCTGCTTTTTTCTCCCTGTATTGATATATACAGAGTCGTCAAGTTGAACAATCACTTCAGAGATATACTTCTGAAGTCACCTTCCATTACATCATTTAGGATATAGATATATAGGTACAATAAATTTTATATTTAGCATATAGGAAGCGGCATTAGATAGGAACCATATTACTGTTACAAAAACTGACTAATACCCATCAAATAACAAATTGCAAGAAACACTATGTCCATGCGTTACGATCATTTAGATAATCATTAACTTTATAATAGCCCTTATCCATGAGAGTATTCTAGATCTGTGATTTAAATTTGATTATTGGAAGCTCAATCAGATCTTGGGGAACTTTGTTAAACAATTCAATACTACATCCCAGAAACTGATTTTTGGAGACTGAAACATGGAACGGCAAGGTTGTTCTTAAATCTCATGTTAAAGTTATGGGTTTTGACTTTTTTTTTGCAAATGCGTCATAGATTTTTCTTACTAGTTTAGGGGTTATTATCCTAATATGCCCAGGTCCTCCAATAGGTGAAAGACGGCACTGTTGATAGGCATTAAAACACACAAAGGATAAGTTTACTAGAAAAAAATTCACGCGGACCAGGCAGCGGACGGGTCACGAACCCGCATCCTTCGCTATCCGGGCGAATGCACTGACCATTATGCTACCACGGCCCTATTAGTCGCGTTGAAATTTTCCTAGCCTTAAGCTGCAAGGCAGCGCCATCTCTTCGCATTGTAGGTAACCCACAATGTCAAATGAATACTTTTTCAAGTATTAAACATTTGAAAGAAGAAATAGCAATTATAGTTATGATTTTATTTATATTTCAAGCATTTAACTGCTAGATGTTTAAATCTAAAGAAAAGTTTACTAGAAAAAAAAAGCCTGGTCCGCGTGGATTTTTTTCTAGTAAACTTTTCTTTAGATTTAAACATCCATCAGTTAAATGCTTGAAATATAAATAAAATCATAAACACAAAGGATATTTAAATTACAACAAGCACAAAAACTACCCATCATCAGGATCTTGAGTTTGAGTCTTCTTGTGAAGGTCGAAGTAAAAAATATTGTTTTTTTTGTGTACACCGACTACGCATCTGAAGTGAAACTTCTTTTCTTAAATAACCTAACATTAGGCGGTGCATAAGGCATAGGGGAGTATGTAGATCAGTGGGGACTCATATATATATACTAGCTGTCCCAGCGAACTTCGTACCGCCATAAAAAAATAGGGGTTGGTGGTAGAATGGTGAAAATTTAGGGTTGTATGTGTTTGTGTACGATATATCATAAAAAAAAAAAGAAAATATCTATAATTGAAAAAAGAAAATAGGGGTGGATTACCCTTAACATTTAGGGGGATGAAAAATAGATTACATCCGATTCTCAGACCTACTGAATATGCATATAAAATTTCACGAAAATCGGTCGAGCCGTTTCGGAGGAGTTTAACCACAAACACCGCGACACGAGAATTTTATATATTAGATATCATTCATCATCATCATTTCAGCCGAAAGACGTCCACTGTTGGACATAGGCCTCCCCCATGGATTTCCACAACGATCGGTCCCATGCTGCCCGCATCCAGCGGCTTCCCGCGACCTTTACCAGATCGTCGGTCCACCTTGTGGGGGGCCTGCCAACACTGCGTTTCCCGGTACGCGGTCGCCACTCGAGGACCTTTCTGCCCCAACGGCCATCGGTCCTGCGAGCAATGTGCCCTGCCACTTAAGGTTTGCAATTCTGTGGGCTATGTCGGTGACTTTAGTTCTCTTGCGTATCTCCTCATTTCTGATTCGATCACGCAGAGAAACTCCGAGCATAGCCCTCTCCATTGCCCTTTGGGTGACTTTGAGCCTTCTTACAAGACCCATTGTAAGCGGCCACGTCTCGGTTCCGTATGTCATCACTGGCAACACGCATGAATTGAAGACTTTCGTCTTGAGGCACTGCGGTAGATGTTCCGAGAAGATGCTACGTAGCTTCCCGAACGCTGCCCAGCCGAGTTGGATTCGTCGATTAACCTCTTTCTGGAAGTTGGACTTACCCAGTTGGACTATTTGTCCCAGGTATACGTACTGGTCAACAACTTCCAGTGTAGAGCTTCCAACAGATAGACAGATATTAGATATATATATAAATATATGAGTGCGAGAGATGCGTGCTATTCCATGTGCACCGTGTGGTCCGTGTACAGTATTTTTCTATAATGTATTGCTATGTAGGTATGATTGATGGGTTGTATAAAAATAAAATTTTAACTTCGATCCACCCGAGTGTTCTAGGACGTTCACGTAATTTTTCATTTCTCCACCAGTCACAGTACATAGCGCCGACAGACGCGCGTCGCGAATGGTTGTCCGGCCTTCAGGGCTCCTCCGGCACTGTGGTGGTGACCGCCGAGGAAGCCCGCGTGTGGACAGACAGTAGATACTTCACGCAATTCGAGTTGCAAGTCAACACAGAACATTTCACTTTGATGAGGCAAGGTAAGTGTCACGACAACGCCATCTAGTCGCTCTAGGCACAGCGGTGACACTCTCTGTACCTACGTGGGAGTTCCAGCGTCAGTGACCTTGAGCAGGAGCGTGTATGCGCTAGGGTTGAACTTGGAATTTAGACTTGTGCCAATGAATATTTATGCATAGTAAGTTATTAAATGGAAACTGATTCAAGGATACTGGGGTAAATAATGAAGGATAGGTTTGATTTTATAATCAATTTTTAATCTTTTAATGTAGGTACTATAACAAATTGCTAACTTTTATATATTTCCTCCTTTTTCGATTCGTTTTATAATGCTTATTATTATCTAAATAATAATAAGATTGCGTAGCGCAGTCAGTCTGTGCGTGCAATGCAGTGCAACGCTATTATTTTACTATTTCGCTACTGCCATGCCTTCGGTCGAGGCAGTCGGTGACTGCCCTCTCCACGCCCCGCGCGCCGCGCAACGCCCCCGCGCACCTCCAGTCACCCACACATAGCCGCGGGCGATTTTACGAGCACATATGCTTAAGTGTCGCTTCTTTTCGCGTAGTGTATATATTCTGTGCTCTAGGTGAATCTAGATGGCTGGCAAACTTATTTATTTATACATTTTATACACACAAATATAAATAGACCGTGATTCAAAATAAGATACTAGTACTAGCATCTAGGTATTAGAAATTACATGGATCAACCTTTTTTTTCGGGGGGGAAATACTTTACGCATACCCGCTCATTGAAAAATGTCGGGCTCTCCCCTGCCTACCCACTGTACGAAATGTAGCTTTCCCCTAGTCGGTAGGCAAGGGCCTACCGACTAAAACCCCCACGTACCCCATCAACGAGGCAGACCCACCTCTGGAAAGGGAACTAGGTTGCACCCTCCCCGATCCTTTCGATAACGCGCCGCAGGACACATAGATCAATCTAACCTAACCTAACGACCCGCGCCATCGAGCAATGAATTAAGTCTTATAAATTTGCCTTCTTAAATTTATGTCTCTTGCGATCACCATCTAAAACGCGATATTGTAAGCTCTTTGCTACAATTTTTTCACACTCACCAATTAGCCTAGCACAAAAGTAAGCACTGTAGGCTTGTATTATGGGATACTAGGGTAACGTATAGAATACATATACTGATACATACACAAGTATATTTATATAGAAATACATATTAAACATCCATGACTGGAGTACAAATGCTCGTTTATAATATCGTAAAAACATCTGCCCCCACCGGGACCTCTTGAGTTGGCGACACATTGAAACCTGGTGTACAAACTACTCCGCCATAAAGGTCGTCAACATTGTGTTCTGATTTCAGGCATAGACGAATCGATCCAATCCTGGTTGGTGGGAAACCTTCAGGACTCTGTCGTGGGCATTGATCCGACCACTTACACCAGGAATTCTTGGACATCGTTGGAGGTAAGACTTATTAAAAGTGCTATTTCAATATCAGTTAACTGATATACTTATCTTTCTCACTGCAAAAGCAGCTCAACTGAGCTGAAAACTCAACACTCAAACTCATTTATTCGGTCTAGGCTGTTACAAGCTCTTGTGAAAGTCAAACGCTACGACATCGGTTCGTAAAGCTACGGTGGGAGACCTTATACTGAGAAAAACCGGCAAGAAACTCAGCAAGGGCTATTTATTTCTCCCTGTTTTGTTTCATACAGGGTGGTCAATAGAAAGATGACATCAAAAATGAAAACATGTGTTGATGTCAACTTCCATCACATTAATCTTATTAATGAACAAAAGTTTAGTATAGCTAGGTACTATTTTTAAATTTAGAAGTGGCGATTAAACAATTTTCAACCAAATTAGCAAAGTAAAACGACTTAGTCTATTATATTATGCCCAAGGTGACTTATCATTTATGAAATCTTTAAGAGCATAGTAACCTTTCTTAAGGAGACATATTGTTATAGACACTTTAAACTTATTAAAAGGTAAATTAATTATTTATTTTGGTATCTTATTACAGTAACATATACCTTGACCCACAAATGGACCAAGAACGTTTTGGAGTCTCAACGGTGGCAATTTGAGTTTATCTTTATTTCTGGTATTGAAATTATATACATCATCGCGCCTCGAATATAACTTCTCTTAGTTGACAAGGTTTCAATATGTGGACCCCACTGAAGTTTAGAATCTAAAGTAATTCTCAGGACTTTTTTAGAACATATGCTATTCAAAGGCTCATCCTTTATTATCAATTGTGTAGAAACCTGTCTGGCATTAAATTAGGTAAATTTAATGCATTTTGTTTTTTATTTCATTTAATAATTAGTTGTTAACAGTAAACCAATGAAGAACCTGTGATATGGTGTCATTTATGTAGTCAAAAGTTACTTTACCTCTATCAACTTTGGAAATTAGAGATTTATCATCAGCAATTAACACAACGTTACATAAATCTTTAACGTCATTAATATAAATAAGGAATAGCAAAGGTCCCAAAATTGATCCCTGCGGAACACCCATAGTCAGAGATGCTCTAAAATACTCAGTTGCATTAATATAAACTTTATTTTCTGCCTGTGAGTTATGAGTTCAGCAAATTAAGTGAATTATTCCAGGAGTTCGTTCTTACGTCCGTTAGAGGCGCTGCTAAGTTTTCATAGTAACTTTTGACAATGCAATACGATACTATTACGGAAATGTCAAAATTCGTGATTGGGCCTCTATTTGTGAGTTATGTCAAGGGTGTTATATCAACCGTAAAACACAGAAAGAGGTACGAAGAGTCTTAGTAGACCATTTGTAAGAGAACCGATGACGCCGGCTTACCCCCACTACACTTCCATCTAATAGATAATAGCCAATCAAACGACGCGACAACAAACAATTGAACCAATCAGCGCTCACACCGAGAGCAACGACGCAATCAGAACCAAGTTTTGGTCAAGTTATGAGTATTCAGTGTTGCCAGGTCCAATTTTTAAAAATTGGGTGGCGTTATAGAAAAAAACAGTAGATGTATGGAAAGAGCTACAAGAAAACAGGAGGCGTACCTTTTCAGGTTTGCAGCCCCCCCCCCCCCCCCCCTAGCATTAGAGAACTAACGCCCCTCAAAGTAGTTTTTTTAGACAACATTTATTTTATAACTATTATGGTTACCTACATTATTAATGGCGGAAAATACAACTCAACATGCAATTTAAAACAGAAAATCGCATTCTAAGAAAAACAGGAGATTCATGAAGAAAAACAGTAGAAAATCTCCTGTAAAATCTGGAGACCTGGCAACACTGAGTTTTTGCTAACGCACAACTGTGGTGCGCCTGCCCCGCTCACAAGGCCCTTCTAATCTCATTCTTTGTTCTGTGATATCAACCAAGTGTTTTACTTGCAGACAGCATTGGCCACGGTCAACATAAGTTTGAAAGCCACTCCTCAGAATCTGGTTGATATAGCGAGAGCGGATATCGGTGACCCAGCTCCAGTGAGACCCAACAATGACCTGTTAGCTCTCAATATTTCATTCACAGGTTTGTTCAATCTTTATATATATCACTCACAGAAGAGTGTGTATGTCACTGAACTTCTCTTAAACGACTGGAACGATTTTGATGAAATTTGTTGTGTGAGTTCAAGGGGATCTGAGAATGGTTTAGATTCACAATTTTGTCCGCTGGACAACCCCTATTTTTTTAGGGCGGTACGAAGTTCGCTGGGTCAGCTAGTTAAATATATAACTAACGCAGTGTTAACAACCCTTACCAAAAATTTCCCCTAAGTATTTTTTAAATTCCCCGAAAATCCTCTAAATTTTAATGAATTTTATATGTATCTACTTATTACCTAAATTCTTTTGTTGCTCCTTAATTAAAACTTTACTTATTTAGTTACAGAAAACTATTTTATTGAATAAATACAGTTTCCCAAAGGACAATCAAACGAAAATGAGCTGACAGGCTGTTTTATATAATCTTATTTAGCTGTTTTTTAACTTTAGTCCATACAGCCTTAGGAAACGACCCGCCACACAGTCAGTTCAGTCGTTTCATATCGTGGTGCGTTCCATTCTACGCACAAAACTGAAAGAAAACACACGCTTTCTTTTTCGATTTAATTTAAAGTTTTGATAAAAGGCCCCTAAATCTGGGGGCAAAACCCCTGAATCGGGAACCATGAACTAACGACTTAATTCTTTTGTTAATGTCTTTTAGAAAGGACTCAATTTTACCCTTACCACGAATCAATATCGAATTCTTATATTTTGCGAACGCAAAATGTCAAATGTGTACTGATTTTTAGTTCTCATTAAGTACGTTGTGGCGCTGCTGTTCAAGTTTCTATTCACAATTTGACATTGACATTTCGCACTTTTAAAACTATTCGAATTCGATATTGGTTCGTGCTAAGGGTCATCATCATTATCATCATCATCATCATCAGCCTATTAATGTCCCCACTGCTTGGGCACAGGCCTTCACTATGGATGGAATAGGGATATTAGGCCATAACTAGGGATGCAAAGTCTTTTGAAATATCGATATTATATCGATATTTATATCGAAGTCAGGAAAATATCGATATCCGATATATCGACCATTTTAACTCGATATTATCGATATATCGATATTTTTTCTTTTTTTTATAAACATTAGAATACTGGGTGATATGACACATTCATATGTTTGTTGGCGAGTTTCTCGCAAAATGCATTGAGCCAGCTTTTTCTTTAAACACGCTTGATGACATCGCGCCAAGCAGGATTTTTTTTTGGCTCGTACGGTTTGTGTTTCAGCCACGACAGGAAACCAAAAAATTAAAATTATTATCCTGATCAGATCACTCACATTTGTTAGCACGAATGCGCCAACCCGCATATGTGGGACGACATTTGCGAATGCCTTCGCTAAGTTTTCACTACATTCGTGCATTTCCAAGCTATGTCGGTTTTTAACGCACATCAAATACGCAAATTGCTTAGTCTCCCACACATCAGGGGCGTGCCCATGGCTTCAGAATAGGGTAAGCCTAAAGTTTCAAAAATTACTATACCTATCTTACTTTCTTGACTTGGCGAGCTTAAAAGTTTACGATTTGTATAAGATTCTTAATTTTATTTTGTGTTATATTACAATGATATTTAATTTTAATTAATCAGTAGTTGACAATTATCTAGAAAGAGAGGCAAGGATTTTATTTAAGTGCATGAGTTACCATTATGTATACGATTATACCTATATACGTTGGTGTCGATTCTGGCATGATTACCTAAACTTAAAACTAAATTTAACATCAGTCTCTCCTTGTCATTCTGTATAGAGAATGACAAGGATACACTGTTGTCAAATTTAATTTTAGGTTGAGAGAATCATGCCAGAATCCACACCAGTTTAGTATATTTCTTGGGGTTCAAGATTTTTTTAATACATCTATAAGCTCTTGCGATTTCAAATCAATAGTTATTTCGATATTATTCAATTTAGATAGTCATAGCAGGTAAATTAATTGATATTATTGTGTTTAAATTTAGTCTACGAAATATCGATATTTTGGAATTTCCGATATCGATATTATCGATTTCAGTGAATTTTAAATATCGATATAAATATCGATATTTTGGTCTCGATATTATCGATATTATCGATATTCCGATATACCGTTGCAACCCTAGCCATAACCAACCAAGCGAGCCCAGTGCGGATTGGCGGGTGCTAACGACTGCAGATGCAGCCGGGACCAACGGCTTGACGTGCCTTCCGAAGCACGGAGGAGCTCGAGATAGTAAATTTTTTGGTCACCCATCCAATGACCGACCACTGCGAAAGTTGCTTAACTTCAACGATCTCAGCCGAACGCGCTAACCACTTGCGCCATCGAGCTCCTCAAGTGCTAAGGGTACTGATATTTTTTTATAATAAAGTGTTTTTCTAGATATTCTTAACTTGTAGCTAAAGGCAATTTATATATTTATACTTAAATATTTGAGTTATACTTAGCTATAATCATTAATATATTTAGAAGAAGAAGCAAAATCTACGTCAAAAAAAGGTTTTCTTTGCACACTTACAAAATAGAAATTTTAAGCTTAAAAAAATTTAAAAAGTAACTATAATTGCTGTATCTTCTTTTAAATGTTTAATAATTGTAAAGGTATTCATATAGACATTGTGGGTTATCTACAATGCGAAGAGATGGCGCTGCCTTGCAGCTTAAGAAATGCTAGAAAAAATCCGACACGGACAATTAGGGCCACGGTAGCATATTGGTCTGTGCATCTGCCCGTAGCGGAGGGTTCGGGTTCGAGTCCCGTCTGCTGCCTGGTCCGCGTAGATATGTTTCCAGTATAATTTTCTTTATGCTGAAAGTTACTTACAATAAGTTCGGTATTGAAATAAAAATTATAATATTTCCAACACACACCAATTAGCCTAGCCCCAAAGTAAGCACTGCAGGCTTATGTTATGGGATACTAGGGTAACGTATAGAATACATATACTGTACATACATATATAAGTATATTTATATAGAAATACATATTAAACATCCATGACTGGAGTACAAATGCTAGTATTCATCACACAAACATCTGCCCCCACCGGGATTCGAACCCGGGACCTCTCGAGTAGACGACACCATGAAACCCGGCGTACAAACCATTCGGCCACGGAGGTCGTCTATTATTCATTTACTCACTTACTTAATTAAGTAATTATCAGACTAATACTTATTATAAAGGCGAAAGTTTGTGAGTGTGTATGTTTGTAACTTCTTCACGTCCAAACGGTCGGAGCGATTTTAATAAAATTTGGTATGGAGTTAGCTGACACCCTGGATTAACACACACAACAAACCGTAGGATTATACTTGATATTTGATTATATTATACTAGCAAACCAGTGAACCAAAAGTTCACCAAAACCTGATTTAAAAAAAATGTATTTAATTAATTGAGAACTTCGGAGATTTTGTGTGGTTTCGTTTGAAATTCGTGATTTCTCGAAAACCGGAAGTGCTACGTTACTCAAATCCGGTTTGTAGTCTTATCAGACTATTCTTAACTTATAACTTAAATATTCTCTTTATCTATCTCTTACGGTTTGGCCGCTGAAACAGCACCACGGACGGACGGACGGACTTGTCTATTAGATAAGAGATATTTGTATAAATTATTAAACAATAAAATAGATTGTCCAAGCCTTCTTATTTACTTTAGATTTAATGTTCCTCGTAGATTACCCAGAACTCAAATAAAAACATAAGTTCCACCTCTTCGCACAACATTGTATTGGGTTCAAGTTTGTTTGTCCTTAGTAAGTAGACTTCTAAATTCTTTGGATCAGTCTATTGATATCTATGCTGTTAGTCTCAATGCATTTCGTCAGCACTTGCAATTGACCACGTTGTAGTATGTTGATATTATTTAGCTTTAGAAATTGGCAGAATTTTGTAAATGTCTTATTTTAATATACTTTTAATGTTACTGGTAATTATTAACTTTGCATGTAGTGTTTACCTTTAATAATTTGTGCTTTCAGCTAAAGTACTATCGCTGTAATATTTACAATGTATTATTGTAACAATGAGGGCTACCGTTTTCTGCCTCACCAGATGGCGCCACTGTTGAGTGAGGTCCTAAATTGTAACTTTTAAAGTTTATTAATACGCACATGAAATCAAAGGTTACATTTAGATCGTATTTTAACACAAAAGAACCATATCCTAAACATAATAGGCCATGCGACAGTGACGCGCAGTTCCGTTTTATTCGGAAAAAATGGGACCATAATCATTTTTCTAAGCTCAAATTTTTAATAACTGACATTCATTGCCACATAACTCATATTTGCCATAATTAAGCCGAATTGTAACCAATTATTCACAACATTATTTTAATTAGAAATAAACCCGCGTAGTCAACCAACAAGCAATAACATTTGACATTTCGGAGACCTCACGCTACACTAGCGCCTCTAGCGGCGGATTCATACGCGATAGCCCTCATTGCTGGTAAACCTATTAAATAAATAAATAAACACATAGGCCACGTTTTATTGCGGGAAAATATCCCTAATAAACCATATCTAACCTAATAAACTTTTATCTATTTTCGTAGGAAGACCTTCCAATGAAAAGATATCTCAGTTACTTCGGGAAATGGCAAGTAGGAACGCCACTGCTTTGGTCCTAACGGCATTGGACGACATCGCTTGTAAGTAATATTTATTTCGTTACAGATCCGTTGTACTTCGTATCACCCAGGGCTTGTAACCGCTTTCGAAAATACCGGTAAAAAAAGGTTAATACCGATTTTTAGTAAAGTTTTCGTTCGGAGCGCGTCCGAAATGAAAGCGGTACCTAAAACCTTAATAAACCGGTTTAATCCAGAGCGACACGTGCCCGCGTCGGCATCGCTTGAAGTTTGTTTTGTTTGGACTAATCAAGTCACAACTTGCTAATGCTCAGAGATTAATGCATTTATTGACACGCTTGCTAGTTGTGTACTGCCACACTACTTCACTCACTCGCTCTGTAATTGGAAAGAAACTGACATAACATCATTATAAATTTGAATTGAAACGGCGAAGGCGATGCCGTCAGTAAGAGCGAAATGAAACCCTTTAAAAACCGCTTAATTGATTCAAAACTTATTTGATTTCGCTTTTTAGGAAAACCGGTTTTTTTAAGGTTAAGGTAGAGCCAAACCTAAATAAAATGCTTCGAATGTACTTGAGACTCATTTAGGTTTGAAAATTAACCGGTAAGCTAGCCCTGGTATCACCTATCTTAACAACATTAAAACCCTCTCTTCCCTTAAATGGCTGAAAATTTTGATCTTTAATGTCAGGCATTGCTATTTTCATAGGTTGATAGGAAATGAGGTAGAAAGTTTTATATAAACTTGTTGATGTTGTTTTAACTATCCTCTTCGCGTATTTTTCCTGGAGCTCTACTTTTGAATCACTCGTCTTGCGTCGTACGCTCGATTTCTACTAAATTTCATTCGACATAATTAATTCCGTATTTTTGAATCGCTCGAGTGCAACGAATGGGTGAGACCACTCGCTGCATGGCGAATGGTGGAGGCGAATGATAGAATAATTGTCAATTTTTTTTGTGCTATAAGCCGACGATAATCTATCATTGTCATGCTTTACATGAAACGACAACGAGAAAAAAATTTTGTTCGGTTTTCATTGCGGTAATTACCGGTTTTTATTTCTTCTGTGTGAAATGAGTAAAATTTCGTATTTCGTATCAAACAGGTAACACTGGTGACGAGTGATTCAAAAATAGGGAAAATCAGTATTATGCGACTTGAAAGTCGAAAGTGACTTATGTCGCTTTCGACGATACTATGACAGACGAGTGATTCAAAAATAGAGCTCCAGGACTACGACAAACATTTCAAAACCAAAATCAGCTAAATCGGCTCAGTCTTTCTCGAGTTTTAGCGAGACTAATGAACAGAAATTGATTTTTATTAACATAGAGTTTGATAGATAAACTATTCCTGTGGAAATGATGAAACGGAAATGCATCACGAGCATCACACACGATACTATATATATATATACAGATATATATATGAGTGATGCGTGTGCTGCTCCAATTCCCTATGCCTTATGCACCACCTCATCATCATCATCATCACCAGCCTATTAATGTCCCATTTGCTGGGGCACAGGCCTTCTCTGTGGAAGATGAATAGGGAGATCCGTGATCCACCACTCCATCCATTAGTGGGTACTAATGTCTGCAGATGCAGCCGGGACCAACGGCTTAATGTGTCTTCCGAAGCACGGAGGAGTGAGAGATAATAATAAGTAATTTTTGGTCACCCATCCAATAACCAACCATTGCGAATGTTGCTTAACCTTAACGATTGCAGGCTGAATGCGCTGACAACCTGCGCCATCTAGCTCCTCACACAAATAATAGCAATAAGTATTTTAATTTACAAATCATTGTTCACAGATACCTTGAACATACGAGGTTCGGATATTCCGTATAATCCAGTTTTCTTCTCTTATTTGGTTATAAGAAGCGACTTGGTGAGTGTTTTATTGGTATAAACCAACAATATTAAATACCCTAGATAGACCACATGCGCTCAAAATGTGTCCCAATCAAGAAGTGCTTGAACACGACTCAAGCACTTCTTGGTTCACAGTCACGCGCGGACCGTTGAAAAGTCAACATGCCGCTGAGCTCCGTGAAAACAACAACAAATATATAAAGAATGTAAAATGACGTTTTTTCCACAGGTATCTAATCAATGTTTGTTAATTTAACGCAATTGAAGTAAATTTTGTTTTAATACTTACTATAAACTGGTTTAATAGAAAATATTTGTGATATTCAAATACATGGTCGATAATATAGCCGTCTCTTTTCCTCGCGGACCATACCTGCTATATTGCTAACAGCGCATTCAGAATTACACGTACTGTCAAAGAAATAAGGTCTTTATTCTTCTGCATATAGCAATAAGTCGTAAAATTTTACGAGCTTACATATCGGACTGTCATAACTCTATGACGCGTGTGCTTTAATTAAGACCTTATATAGTATGCTTCAAAGGTGATTTTCAATGTTTAAATAATGCCTTATATTGTTTAGACTACGCGATCATCTTACGGAGCTCCGTGGATCGTCCAATGTGCCTTGTGGACATGTTTCGGGCATGATTTTGTTCGTGTTGGTGTATCTAGGGTATTTAATATCGTTGGTATAAACACAGCACACAGAAAGAGGTTAAAACGGCCTTGTGGGCGGGGCAGGCGCGCCACAGTAGCGAATACTCTTAACTTGATTTTGATTGCACCGTTACTCTCTGGTGTGAGCTGTGATTGGTTCGGTTCTTTGATGCCCCGTCGTTTGATTGGCTATTATCTGTTAGGTGGAAGTGTAGTGGGGGTGAGCCGGCGACATTGGTTCCCGTACAAACTAACTATGCACATCCTTCTAACCTCTCTGTGTGATGTGGGTTTATAAATAAAGAAGACGCAGTATTAGCATGCTTGTATTTATAACTAGCAGATCAGACAGACATTATCTTGACTGATAAAAATTAAAATAAAATCTTACAACCAATCCAAATCAACACATCACATTTTCAAATTCATTCATTCCCACGTTGTCGGGTAGAGTTGTAAATTTTCTTAAATTTTCTAATTTTACGCAACTTTTTTTATAAGTATATATTTTTTGTAAGAACTAGAGTTCATGATTTCTCGATCTTTTCAATTTCTCTGGTCTCGAGAATTCTCGAGGCTAATTTGTCGAGGCTTCTCGGGTTGTCGAGCAATTTACATTTACGTACGTTTTCTCATATTATTTGGTTCCAATAACGTCAACAAATTCAGTGGTTTTCCTCTCAAATAAAAGTATCAAATTAATCATAAAATTTTAATTGATTATATTCAAAATCATTAATCTATGAATAAGCTAATTAACTTTAAAAAAAAATACAGAAATAATATTATTCAGCCTCATAATTATAATGACATCACCATTTTGGCTGGTTATTTAGAAAAAAAAAACAACTAAAACTTGTAAACAAAAATAGCTTCTATAACACAAAAAAATAACATGAAATAAAACGTTAATATCTTAAATTCAGGTAGAAAATTAATGTAAATTATGATTAATAGTTGCGTGGAGCGCTTTGATCCGCGTTGCCATGCAACAGAATAAACGGCGATTTAATTTCTATACATGATTTCTCGATTTCTCGACTTTTCTCGAGCTTGATTTCTCGGGAACAAAGCACAACGATTTTCTCTGCTCCAGAATTCCCGGGAATGATTCCTAGTAAGAACCTTCTTCGAAGTATTAGAATACTTAAACATTTCTTTCTTTTAAATCTACCTTGAGATTTTCAAAAGAATTACCTATACCAGCACACAACTGGATTAGTCTCTTTGACCAACTTCTTTACCATTTTTCTTAACTGTTAACGAAAGAAGAATTTTTATTCAGTTTTTCCTAACCGGTTAAGAAAAAGAAATATTTTATCCGTTCTCATTATTGGTTAAGAAAACCAGTTAGAAAAATGGAAAAGAACACTGGTGCCAATTCTGGCGTGATTCTATAAACTTAAAACTAAATTTAGTATCAATCTCTCCTTTTCATTCTGTATAGAGAATGACAAGGCTGCTGTAATACTGCTGTCAAATTTAAGTTTAGGTTTAGAGAATCATGCTAGAATCGACACCACTATCACTTAACACCGTTCTACGTAGTCTTGGCACGTAATATTTTATCACCTAATTTTGCAATCAATATTGATTGAAGTATGGTATGGTATTGTCATGGAATTTTCAGAGTTCACCTGCTAACATCGTCTTTTTTTGGGGGAACGGTGAATTAACAGCGGATATTCAAGCTCATCTATCCTCTGAAGGCACACAGTTGACTCCAAGGCCATACGAAAATATATTCAGCTACTTAGAGAATATGGTGGTAAGTTCAATGAGGTAAATGCAGTTCCCTCCTTCCTACAATCTGGGGTCCTTTAACATCAGTACCCTTAGTACGAGTTTTAGCCCACGAAAACTCTCACAGTTTTCGTAATTGTAAATTTATTTATTTATTTAAACTTTATTGCAACATAACACAGCAAATGGCGGACATAATGCCATAAGGCATTCTCTACCAGTCGACCAGTAAGAGCGTGAGAAAAAACTGATATGACGGGGGCGCAATAAAGACAAATGTAAGATAAACCAAGGATACAAATACTCTTAACAGAATACACACACATAATACACACATACATACACATACATATACATACATATACATATATATATATATATCTTGCTGATCATGTTGCGTCTTATATGGCGATTTTTGCTATTGATCCTGCGTCCGACCGACTTGATGCGTCCGGTATACGGACGCAAGATTAACCTAGCCTCATTTTTGGTGTAAAGACGTCTTTTCATGCATAGAGTGCATGGGCAAAAATTTGGCGTGGACTCAATTTCATCACCAGAATGCTTTTTAACGTATTTCATAGTGCAACCATTGACCGTGCGGAATTTGGAGGGCGCTACCGTGCAGTGTATATTTTGCAATGTATATTTCGGGTTCAATTTACAGATTTTATTGCGTCTTCCTGTATATATTTAAAAAAGTTTTTATCAATTCTCTACGATGATTATCTTGCATCCAGTAGGCATCTTAATTTGCGAGAGCGCGCGACACCTGAGGGGCCCGTTTTGGGTGCATGGGAGAGACGAAACTGGGCGTCCTACGGGTCGCGTGTGTTTGTATACAGATCCGTGCTCCGTGGACGCAAACTTATTACCGGAGTGAAATTTATCGTATTATTTGATAGAAGTAAATAAACGTAAAACAATGAAGAGATTTTTTTTATTTTAGCAAATTTAATATTTTATACCATTGATAACTATTAGGATATTATTGTTTTGTTTCCGTTTTCGATTTTTTATAATGTAGATACATAATGAACCTACACGATTAATCGATATTAATGATCGAGAGAAGTTTAACAACGTTAGTTATTAGCCCCTATTTTATTAAGAATGTCATTCATTTGTTATTTTGTGGTAATGTACCTACCTACAGAGAATTCTTGTGAGAACTGTTGCTTAAATTGTTAAGTATACAGTATTGTTCAGCCTTTGTTATGGTATTTATAATATCACATCTAGAAAACTTGTTAAATATGTCACTGAAGTTAACTCAAGCTTATTTCTATGCACTATTTGCTAATTTGTATCATTGATTTTTTTTGATATCCCAATTAACCTGACCTCTTCACTATCACTTAGTATGTATAAATTCAAAATTCGAATTCAATATCAACGCAACCGTGCCCCCCACCAACACGACAAGACGAGCCAAGCAAAGTGCAAGGGCTCCACGTAACTTTTCCTGAAGGGCTTCGTCATTTTAGTGGACCTTTATAAGTAGGGTTTGGATTATCCACATAAAAAAATCTCAAGTTATATAAGTAACGGTGAAGTCCAGACGCGATAGCTGATACAGCAGTTCACCTGCCACACCAGCCATCCTCACCCTGCCGGCCTGCATGTTGCTTCTTCACGCCTCTTTTAAAGAATCCCAGGTTGTAAGAGGGAGGGAATACGTGAGCGGTCAGCGCATTCCATCTATGGATAGTGCATCAAAAAAATGAGTCAACAAATTTCTTTGTACGCGTTGGAATTGTGGCCACAGTTAGTCGGTGACAACGTAGGTCAGCGCGCGAGGTCCAATGAAGGAAAGGGGAAGGTGGGATAAGAGAGAACAACTCCTCAGAACACTCGCCGTGGTACAGACGATAGAACGTGCTTAGTGACGCCACGTCACGGCGTAATTGTAGAGGCTCTAGGTGTTTAGTCACCTCTTCATTGCCTATAATGCGGATCGCGCGCCGCTGTAACCCATCCAAGGTATCGACAAGTACTTGGTGGAGTCATCCCAGAGTTGCGAGCAATTTTCCACGCAAGACCGCACCTGCTCCTTATACAACAAGCACAGTTAAATTGCTCGGGCGTGAAAAAACGCCGAAAAAAACCTTGAAATAAACCTTGTTCAGGTCTCCAAGACATGAAAGGAATGGCAACGTTTTTGCCGTGAAAGCGCAGACCTGGGTTCCTCAACCAAACCTGGTACCCCATTCAGAAATATGGTCCAAAGCCTGAGCCTGAATTCAATGACAAGATTCTCCCGTTTCTCCTTGGTAACCGCCTGCCCAGCCGCTGCTTGTCCGAGATACCCCGCATGCACTGTACTATCGTATGCATCGCAATGAATATTCCCAAAAGGAATTTTAGTCATTGATATGCAGCAGAAAGATAGTGGGGAATAGGACGGAGCCCTGAGGAACGCCGTCATTCACTGACATGAACCGCGAACTGTTACCATTCGTAAGGACACGAATTCTACGTTCATGCAGGAGCTACCCAAGAACAGATCTGTGCCGGCAAACCGTATGCCGGAAGCTTGGAGAGAATGCTTCTGTGCTAGACCCTGACGAACGCCTTGGCTGTCATGTCAAGGCATGTCAAGGCTGATAACCAACGACTTGCCCCGCTTGTCGATAGCCTCACCCCAGATATGAGTCAAGTACGCTAGAAGATCACCCGTCGATAGTTTGGGTCTAAAACCATATTGAAGATCATTAATCAAGGATTCATCCTCTAGGTAGTGGGTCAGATGGTTGTTAAGAACCTTTTCTAGGACTTTATATAATACTGGGGTGACTGCTATTGACCGGTAGTTTACCGGGTCTGAGGGATCCCCTTTTTTGGACACCGGTTGCACGTTGGCATCTCTCCAAGTCTCCGGCACACGCCCCAAAGAATACGAGTATTGGTACAAGCGCGTGAGAGCCGAAGACAACTCCGCTGCACATTTTTTTGGTACTACTAATGGGATGCCATCAGGTCCACCAGCTTTCCGGATGCCGAGTGATTGCAATTCGACACGAACCTCACGCTGCCTGATTTTAATATCAGGCATCGTTGTGCCACAATGAGGTAATGATGGTGGCAGTGCATTGCAAATATCGAGTCTGGAGTTAGCCGCAAAGAGTTTTGCCAGTAAATCGCCTTTCTCCCGTGGCTTATGAGCTAGTGTTCCGTCAGGGCATCTCAGAGGTGGCAGCGAGAGCTGGCAGAAGTTCTTTTGCACGGCGTTATAAGTTCGTGACCAACATGTGCAACGCGCTGGGCATCCGCTGTAATCCTTCTTACAGGTCTTGAAAGCAAAATTATAGGCTGCTTTTAGTGAATCACCCCGGGATCCTTAAGAGCACGGCCTCAGATCCAAGCACGATATGCCGCTTGCTTACGCGAAACAGCTTCAGCACAGTGGTGATTGAACCAGAGGTTACGTGTGTCCTTACTGAAGAGATTGGAATGAGTAATATAGTACCATTACAATCTCCTCAGAATAACAACGGCGCTGGCAGATAGGTTCTTGTCACTGAAGCAGCGCTGCTTCTAAGGGACGGACGCAAAGTTGTCACGCATACCGTTCGAATCTGCCGACCCATAGTGACAGATCCGGCGTTGTACCACCGTTGGACGCGCAGGCTTGGCCTGTGGCGCTTTGGTAGATAACGGGCAGTGATTCGAAGAGCCCAGAGACCGCTTACCACAACCTGACAGCTCTGTAGATGGGTCGTGAGCAGAAGGTCCAGTAATAAAGGTGATTGACTTGAAATATCTGGAATCCTGGTGGGCTGATCGACCAGTTGCTTCAAGTCATGCGTGAGCAGAGCCCTGCATGGTTGGTTTTCGAGGAACTTAACCACAACTTAAAATTGTTGTAAGCATTAAATTCCCCCAAAAATACCAATTCTGCTTTGGGAAATTGTTCTTGCGCGTCATCTGCTGCCCGACTAAGGTGTTCGAAAAGTCGTGTTGTCTCAATATCGCGAGTATGGGATCTGTAGAGGCACACGTAGATTTTGGCCTGGGGACCAGAGTCGACGTGTACCACCAGCATGGAGTAGGAGTGATCTTCCAAGCAGCGGAGACGGCGACAACAAACATTCGCCCGAACATACAGGCATACACCGGCTTTCGCTTTGAAGGACTCTTTAAACACGTAGCCGGGATAGTTAAGGTAGCCTGTGTCAGCAGGCAGAAGTATTTGTGTCTCCGTCAACAATGCTGGGCGTGCTCTTTCAAGATAGTGGTGGACAGCGTTGAAGTTAGAGTGGAGTCCGCGTATGTTGCCTGGGGGTATGCACCGCTATACTTAGTTGTTTTAGAGGCTGCCATGGTGGAATTGAAAAAGAGACGTGAAAATGAGCGGGCGGTGTCGCGAAGAGTCCTGGCAAATTAGGAAGATTTGTTTTCCCGATAGAAGCATTTCTGTACTTGCGATCTGATAACTTTTTGTCGTACGAGTGATACATGATCCCGTCTTGGCAACATTTTCCATGAAAATGTTTTGGAGAGATCTTTTATTCAGTTCAGGCTTTCAGGCACTTGTGTACGTACCCCATACAAATCTACGGCGAGGGGCCTTGTACTAAGAAGCGGCAAGAAACTCAGCAAGAGCTTGTTTTTTTACCCTGTAGGTTTCAGAGTCATCAAATTAAAAAATGAGGACAGAGATAATTCATGAAGTCTTTTTCCATTACATATTTTTATTCTTTATTTCGAGCTTGAGTTTCGAGCCTACCTACTTCGAATTAATCTATTTACACCAACTTTTCTTATTGTCTAACTATTATTATCTTTCCTAGGTACAACAAGGCTGGGTGGCTTGTATTGCTTTCAGATTACCTTTATACAAGGATTTATTATGGATACCCACATTAACCTGACTAACTTTTACATTGCGAAAATGAATAATACACCTAGACTTGCGGCCAATCTCAGTGTCTGATCATAAGCCTACCCACTAAAAACCTTACAGATCGCCATTGGACATCTCTTGGCAGTACCAGCATCAGGCAAGACACCGGAACAGACAGTATTCTAAGTTATCCTTGGTGGATCCCTTCGACTCCGTTGTCGACGATGTACACAGAGTACGACTATATGGTCGTTGGGCCCGTAAATTACAGGGTCAAAGGACAACCAAGCTCGAATCCCACCGGTACTCTTGAAATTCCAGACCAGCCGAGCTAAAAAAGTTATCTTAAATATGATCATGACTTTAATAAATAAAAATATAAAGACAAAAAGGTACGGACCAATGTAAACTTTAAAATATAATAAAAAAAGAACTTCCCTGTCTACCCGACTGATCTGTGTAAAACTCAAAAATAACGATCAAGCTTTGAACATAAATAAGTAATTGTAGGTACCTACAGGTACTACATAGGTATGTACTACTCTAAAGAGAAGAGTGCTGGTGTACCTGGAAGCCGGTGGACTAGCAGGATGAATATTATTGATATACAGTACCTACAGTATCCGGAACTAACATATCTCTTTTTAAATTTGAGGGACATAACTTTGTAGAAATAAATCGTATTATGCAGAATCAATTTAAACATAAGTTTGGACGGAGGTAGGAGCATTTAAGCAGTGCATAGAAGATATACGTAAATATTCAGTGTGCTGTATGGTTACGGTGGTGAACGGATGCGCCAAATTACTGGGAAATATTAAAATCGAATATTGGCATTTTATATTTTATTGCAATTTCGCGTAGACTCAAGGTATTATAATATTAATAGCTACTTAAATACGCATTTAAAACATTCAAAATCGCGTCGAGTACAGTGGACGCCGCAGGGTGGCAGTTTGTAAAGATGCAAGAAGTCTTAGAAGATGTAAATATATATATATATATATATATATATATATATATATATACAAAATTATGTTTCTATGTCCATTTTGGTGAAGAGTAACCAAATATACTTAAAAATTAAGGAGACGCAAATGATTTAATGATAGAATTTAAACACTGTTCATTTGTATTGAAACGAAAACAATAAAATCAAGTACCCTTAGCACGAGTGCGAGCTCATGAAAACTATCATAGTTTTCGTAATTAACAAAGAAAGGCCCCCTACGAGATGGACCGACGATCTTGTGAAGGTCGCGGGCAGCCGATGGATGCGAGTGGCGCTGGACCGATCGGTGTGGAGATCCTTGGAGGAGGCCTATGCTCAGCAGTGGGCGTCGTACGACTGACATGATGATTACATAACAAAAAACAGAATCGCCTCATTATCATCAGCCTATTACTGTCCCCACTGCTGGGGCACAGACCTTCCCTATGGATGGAATAGGGAGATTGGGCCATGACCATTCACGCGGGCCAAGTGCGGATGGCGAGTGCTAACAACTGCAGAAGCAGCCGAGACCAACGGCTTAACGTGCCTTCTGAAGCACGGAACTCGAGATAGAAGATTTTTGGTCACCCATCCAATGACCGACCACTGCGAAAGTTGCTTAACTTCAACGATCGCAGCCGAACGCGCTAACCACCCGCGCTACCGTGCTTCTCAATCTTCTTCTTGCATCGCCTAATATCGCTAAAAATTTATTTCAGATAGAAATGCCTGGAGATACCGTCTGGTTGTCACAAGATGGCAGTCACGCACTCTATTTAGCAGTGGAAACCGTAAGTGAAATTATTAATATATCAATCAATTAAAAGTATGCTTCTATTTTTCCAGAATATGTTACAGTAAGAAGAAAGAGAGATTTTTTTTTATTCAGTGACAAAAATAATACATGAAATAATATATATATCTTTATATATATAATTCTTCTGTGAGTGTGTATGTCACTGAACTTCTCTTAAACGACTGGACCGATTTTGATGAAATTTTTTGTGTGTGTTCAAGGGGATCAGAGAATGGTTTAGATTCACAATTTTGTCCGCTGGACAACCCCTATTTTTTTAGGGCGGTACGAAATTCGCTGGGTCAGCTAGTATATATACAATAATTTAGGTCTAAACATTTCCATCACTAAAAAGGCAGTCCACTCAGAATATGTCGGATGTCGTAGACTGTCCGAAGCTGGTCTTCCGTGGTTACCTTTTATTAGAGTAATTCTCAACTTTTTCCATATTAAAATAATTTAAATCTAAAGAAAATATTACTAGAAAAAATTCCACGTGGACCAGGCAGCAGACGGGACTCGAACCCGCACCCTTCGCAATCCGGGCGAATGCTCTGACCAATTATGCTACCGCGGCCCTCACGGACCGCGTCGAAATTCTTCTAGCCATTCTTAAGCTGCACGGCAGCGCCATCTCTTCGCATTATAGGTAACAATAGTAACATCTAGCAGTTGCATGCTTTAAATTAATAAAAAAAATATATAAAACTAGTTTTTACGGGTTAATGCACGAAACTTTATTTATTTATTGTCGTTTCGCAGCCTTTTCAGGTCTGCATCGTCAGAATAATGATTTTTTATTTTATTTTATATCAAAATAAAAAATCATTATTCTGACGATGCAGACCTGAAAAGGCTGCGAAACTTCAATAAATAAATAAAGTTTCGTGCATTAACCCGTAAAAACTAGTTTTATATATTTTGATATAAAATAAAATAAAAAATCATTATTCTGACGATGCAGACCTGAAAAGGCTGCGAAACGTCAATAAATAAATAAAGTTTCGTGCATTAACCCGTAAAAACTAGTTTTATTTAATGAGTGATGTGCGTGAAAACCTAAGAAACAAATAAAAAAAATATAATTAAAATAATTTTATTCACCTTTTTAAGTCCGTGCTTTCAAAAGAGGCGTGAAGGAACATCTTTCAAATGAAATGCTAGTTTGAAATCAAATACTCGTTAACTTTCATGATGCTTAACATTCGCCAAAATATTATAAAACAAAAATCTAGCATTAATTAAATAAAATGTTTAAATCTAAAGAAAAAAAATTACTACAAAAAAATACCACGGGGACTTTTTCAGTTTCAATCTTTTTCAATTTTTGTAGTAATTTTTTTTTTCAATTTTAATATCCAGCAGTAAAATGCTTCAAAAATACAATTATAATTGCTATTTATTCTTTCAAATGTTTAATACTTGTAAAGGTATTCATTTGACATTGTGGGTTACTTACAATGCGAAGAGATGTCCACGGGTTCGAGTCCCAACTGCTGCCTGCCTCCCAATTTCTAAGCGAACGTAGAAATTTTTCTAGTAAAATTTTCTTTAGATTCAAACATCTAGTTGAATACTTATAACTAAATTCAATATTTTTAACTTTTGCAAACACATACCTATTTTCAAAATGCTGAAACAAAGAATAACATACATATTTTTTTTAATTTATAAAACATACATTTGCAGGATGGTGTTGCTAGCATATTGTCTACACTCTCGCCAGTTGCCAGTATAAAATGCGTGAAAAACGACGTAGAGCTTGCGGTAAGGTTTAACTTTAGTTTCTATACACATGTTCACAACACAAGATTTGATTTCAGTATATTAAAGAAGTTCTCTCAGTAGCACATAATAAGGTTTTCGACATGTTCAAGATAATTTTCTCACGTTCTTAACTAATTTTTATGGGGTCCAAAAAAGATATGGATATTTTTGATTCTATAGCTATTTACGAGATTGTTACCATGTACCTTCTTTTTTAAGAGTCTCGGTACTGTACTATATTTCGGTACTGTTGCAAGCGCCATGATCACGGAGTAACTGAAAACAAGGTACATGGTAACAATCCCGTTAAAAACTATAATGTTAGTGACCATGAAAGTTTAAAACAATATATTTTTGATCCTGTTGTGTACCTAATTTTGGAAAAAAAACTAAATTAAAAATTAAATTTTCAAGTTGCCTCGAAAACGTTTATCTGGACATTATGGCGTCTCACTAGTTTATGACGTTACACAACTGTTATTAAAACGTCAAACGATGCAATGTAATGTCACTTTCGCCGGAAGTTTACAAGCGTGTGACGTCATTTTAGTCTTGGCCAATCTCAGACGTTTTCCGTCACGTCCATGCAGCAAAAAAATCATTTCTATTTAAAAATTTATAGAATAGTTATTCTACGTTCAGAATAGTAAAATCGCTGCTAATATTCATATTAAATACAGATGCTAGCAATAGGGTATTTGACAAGTTTTAGAAAACGATCTCACGTTATTGACTAATGTTTATGGAGTCCGCAAAAAGTGGATATTCATCATTCTGTTGTGTATTTCAGTAAAAATAACCAAATCAAAAACTCCATTTTCAAGTTGCCGCGAAAACGGTTTTCTGGACAATATGGCGTCTAACTAGTGTGTGACGTTACACGACTGTTATTAAAACGTCAAGCGATACAATGTAATGTCACTTTAACCGGAAGTTTACTTGAGTGTGACGTCATTTTAGGCTCCGCCAATCCTAAACGTTTTGGGTCACGTGACAATAGATTATCTTTTTCGTGGGTTTTTAGTAAAATTATGAATATTTTTTTTGTAAAACTAGTAAAAACCCCTGCCAATATTCATTTTTAACATTGATGCTAACAATTGGCACTTTATTTTTATTCGCTCCATAACAAATTTCGGTTTTTACGCGGCAGGGCTTTCGCACTGCCCATATTAAGGATGGCATCGCTGTAGTTCGAGGTCTGCGATGGGTCGAAGAATCTGTAGCAGCCGGCGAGGTTGTCACAGAAATAGATCTGTCCGACAAACTGGCGCAATTAAGGAGGTCAGTATTAAGATCACACGTTCACTTTTTTATTTAGTGGAGTAAAAAAGGGTTTTATTAAATCACTAGCTGACCCAGCGAACTTCGTACCGCCATAAAAATCGGAGCAGGTGGTAGAAGAGAAAATTTAGGGTTACTTGTATGTATTTTTTAATACCCATTATAAAAAAAAATATTTTGTCCAAAAAAAATTTAGGGGCTGTGTAACGTAGTCACTATCAATTTCCTGGGATAACATTCCTATATGAGAAAACAACGTTACAATAGCCAATAGTTTGAATTTTGGCGCGAAGACGCATTGTAGGTTTCAGAACATTACGTTACAGGTGGACAACCATTATCACTTAAGGATATGAAAAATAGATAATAGCCGATTCTCAGACCCACGGAATATGCACATAAGATTTCATAAAAAACAGTCAGGCCGTTTCGGAGGAGTATGATAACTAACATTGTGACACGAGAATTTTATATAATATAAGAAAACACACGCAATTAAAAAGGTATGGATTGTAGCGTCTGTAGTTACTTCTATGGTAGTAGCAGTGGCGTAACTACCGCCGTATCTGCCATATCAATTATACGGGGGCCCTGGGCTTCGGGGCCCCCAACGGGCGTAAGCGAAAATTAATAAAAACTTCTCAATTTTTTTTCAGAAATGACAAAAGTAAATAAAAAGCAATTTCTTTTTTTTCCCGCGTTAAGCGTCCGTTGGCAACACCGGGCGCGCGGGCTGCAAGATTTCCCCGTTTAAGTCATTTAACTTGAACGAGGGAATCCCACAATAATCGATGTACATACGATACGATGATAAACCACTTTTATATAAACACACACACATATATATATATATAATATCTAATATATATAATTCTCGTGTCGCGGTGTTTGTGGTTAAACTCCTCCGAAACGGCTTTCCCGATTCTCATGAAATTTTGTGTGTATATTGGGTAGGTCTGAGAATCGGACAACATCTATTTTTCATCCCCCTAAATGTTAAGGGTAATCCAACCCTAATATATTTTTTTTCAATTTTAGATATTTTTTTATGATACATCGTACAAAAATACATACAACCCTAAATTTTCACCTTTCTACCACCAACCCATATTTTTATATGGTGGTACGAAGTTCGCTGGGTCAACGAGTATATATATATGTGTGTTTGTGGGATGAGACCGCAGCTCTTCACGACGAGCATAAAAGTTAGTGTTACTCAGCGAAGGCTAAAACACTATAAGCGTCACACGCGACAATATATATATATATGCGTGATGCGTGCGCTGCTCCATTCCCCTATGCAAATTCACAAAAAAAAATGTGCTCTGACCACACTAATTTTTAGTATTAATAATAATCATAATAATCAGAATCATTTATTCAGTTTAGGCTGTTACAAGCACTCATGAATGTCTAGAAACTACGCAATCTGTTCGTAAATCTACGGCGGGAGATCTTGTACTGAGAAGAACCGGCAAGAAACTCACGGCTGTTTTTTTATCCCTGATTTATTATTAATTACTCCCTTTTTTATTATTAATAATTATTTTCCCCTGTTTTAATATTCATTATTAATTATTTGTTTTTAGTTATTGTTTTAATTTTTTAAGCATATAACTGCTTGATGTTTAAATCTATAGAAAATATAACTAGAAAAATATCCACGCGGACCAGGCAGCAGATGGGACTCGAACCCGCACCCTTCGCAATCCGGGCGAATGCACTGACCAATTATGCTACCGCGGGCCTTTTTTTTTATTGTTGGGAAAATGCGTTACGCATACCCCGCCCCGGTTGAGAGGCGGGGTTATGTGGGACTCCTCCTCCCCCCAAATCTCGCCTACCCGCCCAGCCAGACTACCTGGCTCGGCGGCTGCTCGGGGCGAGGGGGGGGGCCTCCCCCTCCCCCCAAATAAGCAGACTACCTGGCTCGGCGGCTGCTTGGGTCGAGGGGGGGGGGGCCTCCTCCTCCCCCCAAATAAGCAGACTGCCTGGCTCGGCGGCTGCTCCGGGCGAGGGGGGGGCCTCCTCCTCCCGCCAAATAAGCAGACTACCTGGCTCGGCGGCTGCTCGGGTCGAGGGGGGGGGGGGGGCTCCTCCTCCCCCCAAATAAGCAGACTACCTGGCTCGGCGGCTGCTTGGGTTGAGGGGGGGGGGGCCTCCTCCTCCCCCCAAATAAGCAGACTGCCTGGCTCGGCGGCTGCTCCGGGCGAGGGGGGGGCCTCCTCCTCCCGCCAAATAAGCAGACTACCTGGCTCGGCGGCTGCTCGGGTCGAGGGGGGGGGGGGCTCCTCCTCCCCCCAAATAAGCAGACTACCTGGGTCGGCGGCTGCTCGGGATGAGGGGGAGGGGCCCTACCCACTAAAAACCCAACAGTGCTCCCTCGTCTGCCGAAACGGGTTTTGTGGGATCCATATGACGCTCTACGTTACCCCGGCAGTAATTCCTCCTCCTCCTGGTGGTCAGGGGGATGCCCGGGAGCACGTAGGCATCCCCCCTCGACGGGTGAGACTGTGCAATGCGAGCGACGGACCACCCATGCCACCGCGGCCCTGACAGCCGCGTCGAAATTCCTCTAGCCATTCTTAAGCTGCAAGGCAGTGCAATTTCCTCGCATTGTAGGTAACCCACAATTTGTTTATATTTTATTTTATCTTTGCAGCGAAGAATTGTACTCACATGGTCCTTCGTTTTCCACGATCGCTGGCGCCGGTGAAAATGGTGCCATCATACATTACAGCCCACCTAGAGAAGGTTCCAGAGTGATAGGAAAATATGACATGCTGCTAGTCGACTCAGGAGGGCAGTACAAGTGAGTTGTGATTTACAAAAAGCTTTTATTGGCTTAAAATCAAAATAAAAAATGGATGCGTGTAACTTATGTACGCGCGTGAGAAGTTATACTTCTTTAGCATCATTAAAAATATTTTTTAATTGCATGTAAATAATTAATAATTACAATAAAATAATAAAAGGACTGGAAAAGGATAGTTAACACAGTCAATTAAGTTCAGTTTTAATTTGAAAAATTAAATAAATATTCAAAATATTCAATTAAAATCACTACTGAAATTAAGTTATTAGTCCATATGTAATTAGCACTTGTAAGTAACTAAAACACGTTGTGTCTATATAGAAACTAGAAACATGTGGATAAATATTATAAATATGAAAACAGTGATCAGAGGCGACGAGCGTGCCAACATTGTTTTTGACAACGCGATCATCTTATGGAGCTCCGTGGATCGTTCAAAGTACCTTTCGAACAGATGTCTAATAATGGTGGATTATTAACCACTAAGTGGTTAATAATCCACCATTATTAGACACTAACATTCATAACGCGCCCGCGGCCAACTTCATGGTGTTACTATTGTGTTACAGTGATGCGCGCGCATCTCGAAATTTCACTCACATGATTTTTTCATAACGCGCCCGCGGCCAACTTCATGCTGTTACTTTTGGGTTACAGTGATGCGCGCGCATCTAAAAATTTCACTCTCATCATTTTTTCATAACGCGCCTAAAGAAGTATAACTTCAAAAATCATTTTTATCTCTGTTGACTGGACTAAACCTGTATATGTGTAGTCTATGTATCTTATAAATAATCTTATAAATATGTTAATACTAAGGCCATTATTTCACACAAAGTACCTAGTTATAGACATCCTCAGCCAAACTAGGAAATTCATCCTGTATTTTGGCTTCAGCGCTCTTCCCCGAATTTTATTTGCTATGTAGCCATACAAATAACATGAGTACCATAGTACTACATTAATCAATATTACAGTACATTAATATAATAAATGTGTGTGTGTGCGTGTGCGTATGTGTGTGTGTGCGTGTGCGTATGTGTGTGTGTGTGTGCGTGTGTGTGTGTATATGTGTGTAGTGCGTATGTGTATATATAATCATGAGCATCTATATTTATAGGGCCGTGGCAACCAATTCCTCAGTTTTTTCGTAATCTAGGTATATATATGTTATATGTGTAGGTATATAATATGTATATGTATGTATATATACTTAATTCACAAATTCGTTTAAATCCCTTGTTTCTTTTACTGACACCGCCGACTTCAGCTTTCTTTCAATCCTCTCCATCCAAAGGTTGTCTGGAAGAAATCGCTTTTAGCGATAAGGCTGCCCATTGAAGCACTCTTTTTTTTACAATTCTAATGTCCCTCATTTCTGTTCTGTGTTGTGGTGTTTTCAATAAAGTATTGTGTATTGTATTGTATTATTCAGTCTAGGCTGTTACAAGCTCTTGTGAAGGTCAAGAAGCTACGCCATCGGTTCTCAAAACTACGATGCGAGACCTTGTACTGAGAATGTAGTCTATGTATATATATGTTATATGTATCTCTTATCTATTAGACAAGTCCGTCCGTCCGTCCGTCCGTGGTGCTGTTTCAGCGGCCAAACCGTAAGAGATAGATAAAGAGAATGTTTAAGTTATAAGTTAAGAATAGTCTGATAAGACTACACACCGGATTTGAGTAACGTAGCACTTCCGGAACCGGCAAGAAACTCAGCAAGGGCTGTTTTTTTCTCCCTGTATTGTTATATACAGAGTCGTCAAGTTGAAAAATGACTTCAAAGATACGTCTGAAATCACCTTTCATTACATCATTTACGAAACAGCCTACCCGCAATAAATTCAGCCACTCCGTGATCATGGCGCTTGCAACAGTGCCGAAATATCGCGAAACTCACACCACTCGCACCAGATTTCTTTTTTCATTATATTTTTTATCTCCTTTTAATTACTTTATTTTTTTAAAATCAACAGTATAATGATGTCTTTAGCTTTTTAATAAATATACTTTTTAATCATCGCAATCGGTTCATTCGTTGCGAATTTATAACTAATTTTATGGTAGCCAATATTCACCGGTGACCGAAACCTGTGATGCCACGGAGTTTTTCGAATTAAACTCAAAAGTTACTGAAATCATTAAATAAGTGCCGATTGTTGAAAGACAGCGCCAATGTTTGGGTAGTTTACCCTACCAGTTACTGTTATAAATATGGGAGAAAATTGTATTTGAAACTAGCGGCCCGCCCTCGCTTCGCTTCGGTGTAGAGCTGAAGTGTAGACTACAGTTTTTGTTCTCAGGCTTGTATTATACACAATGACATTCATCTATGATTCTTCTTATACCTACATGCAAAGTCTCAGCCCGATCGGTTTAAAATTAACAAAGTTTCCTACAAACTTTCATTCCCTATGTTATCCCCTTGGGGGTAGAATTGATCAAAATCCTTTCTTAGCGGATGCCTATGTCATAACATCTACCAGCATGCCAAATTACAGCCCAGTCCGTCCAGTGGTTTGGGCTGTTCGTTGATAGATCACTATGTCAGTCAGTCAGTCGCCTTTGAGTTTTATATATATATATATAGATATAATGATTTCAGATGATTCAGACAACGCATAAAATATAATCAGTGCATCTTTACCACAGAACACAGAAAGAGATTAGAAGGATGTTCATTGAATATTTTGTACGGGAACCGATGTCGCCGGCTCACCCCCCACTACTCTTCCACTTAGTAGATAATAGCCAATCAAATTGGCTCAATCGATCAAATCAAAAAAATCAATCTACCTGCATGCCAAATTTCAGCCCGATCCGTCCAGTGGTTTGGGCTGTGCGTTGATAGATCACTATGTCAGTCAGTAACCTTTGAGTTTTATATATATAGATGGAGACAATGGTGGTTTTTGTCGAGAAATTGTCAATTTTTTGATTAGTTATTATTTTCTATAGGGACGGTACGACAGACATCACACGCACGCGGCATATGAACGCTTCACCGACACAGGCGCAACGACTCGCCTTCACGCGCGTGCTGAAGGGGCAGATAATGTTGGGGACCGTCGTATTCCCTAAATGGACTGTGGTCTGTATCATAGTATAGATGGTGAAGCTTGTATTCATGTTATTTAGAGACGGCACTACAGCTTAGATCAAAACAAAAAGGGAGGTACACTCGCGGGAAGACCCGCTCTGTCACCCATAATTCCATAATCGCTTGCGGTAGCGGCGTAATAAAAATTCATTCATAGACATGTAAATATCGCTGTCTTACTTTTTCGTATAGCGCTGTCGCGATCACGAGGCGGATGACAAATTGCAACTAAAACAAATGCAATTCAATTCATTATTCAATGAATGAAATGCTCTCTGTCTTACTTTTGTGCTGCGGCCCGGATTGGCGCGTCCGACGCGAAGGCGGGGCGTAGTAAAAACTACTGTAGAAAACCGTTCAAAGCATTTTATTCGCCAAGTGATAGAGCGCAAAATTCCGCGATAGTAATTTATATGTGTAGTGAAGAAAAATAAATCTCGGAGGCGATAACTGGATATTAAACAAAAAACAAACGCACAACTAAAGATGTCTAATGTGAAGATTCAATAAGAGACGATTCATTTACAAAAACAAAGCAAAACATAGCGGCCTAGTAAAATCTACTTATTATTCTATGGGTGTTTTTTTTTCATATATCTAATTTTCGAGAAGGAAATCGTCGAGAGCCAAACCTCGAATTAGGCAATTTTTATACGTAATTTTCAACGTTAGCTATATCATGGTATTTGCCAATGCACGACAGCTATAGTTTTTACAAATACCTATTTCTCAAATATCTCTCTGCTCGTCCGGCTTGAAGTGTCGCCGCACACGGGCCACACGCCACAGCCACAAACGCCGCCACGAGAAGCTAGAAGCGGCTGAAGCGCGCGACAGCGCCCGTCTAAGTGTCGCTGCACACGGGCCACCGACCACAACCACAAAACGCCGCCACCGGCATATTTTTTGTAGTTTTCATACATTTTATTGGACTCGCCACACACGGTACGCCGGTGGCCTCCACACGCTACAAATGGTCGTTGCTCGCTTCTTGTGGCCCGCACCGGCCACTTAATGCGCCGATACAAAACGCCGCCACACGTCACTCGCGCGATTCTCCACCCCGCTCTCCCTTACCTTAGTCGGCCGCTGTCGCGCGCTTCAGCCACTTTAGTAGCCGCTTCTAGCTTCTCGTGGCGGCGTTTGTGGCTGTGGCGTGTGGCCCGTGTGCGGCGACACTAAGGTAAGGGAGAGAGGGGTGGGGAATCGCGCGAGTGACGTGTGGCGGCGTTTTGTATCGGCGCATTAAGTGGCCGGTGCGGGCCACAAGAAGCGAGCAACGACCATTTGTAGCGTGTGGCGGCCACCGGCGTACCGTGTGTGGCGAGTCCATATAAAATGTATGAAAACTACAAGAAATATGCCGGTGGCGGCGTTTTGTGGTTGGTTTTTATAAAAACACACCATTTTTTTATTTTATTACCAAAGTCCCAAATCGGAAGTCTTACAGGGCCACACTTTGGAGTCGTTCGCGCGCAAATCTTTGTGGGACGTGGGACTGAACTATGCCCACGGGACGGGGCACGGCGTGGGTCACTTCCTCAATGTGCACGAGGGGCCGTCGGGGATCCTAAGCGGACCCCTAGCTTCAGACCCTGGCATCCAGCCTAAAATGATATTCAGTAACGGTAAGACAAATAAATTAATCAATAGTGAAAAACCAAAATTGCTTTAACGCCACTTTAGTAACTTTACAGCTTTGATACTCCGTGCTTGTTGTGTCCTGGGCCCGTGTGGTGGGTCACGGCCCAATCTCCCTATTCCATTCATTAGGGAAGGGCTGTGCCCCAGCAGTGGGGACATTAATAGGCTGTAGAGCGATTCTGTCAAATAAAATCTTAAAGATTTCGCTATCTGCCATTTTAGACATTAGTTATTTATGCATTACGCCATTACACGGCAAAATGTCGCTTTGTGTAGAAGCAGCCAGTATTAGATATTTGACATTTGTCAGAAACCCGAATAAATGAGATCGTAAGTGAGATTGCATCTTATATATACATTGTTTATATTTAAAACACCAATAACCTCTTAGGGGGTGATTCTACCCATCAACAGGAACAACTTTTATTACGGGACCAACACTGAAATCGCGAAAAAAAAAACAGCTGTTTCATACATTGCGGTCGATTAAAGCTGATGCACTTTTATATGAAACAGCAGATTTTTTTTCGCGATTTCGGAGTTGGTCCCATAATAAAAGTTGTTCATTTCAGACTTGTCTCTGATGTTGTTACAAAAGATTTAAATTTTCTTACAGAACCCGGATATTATGAAGTTGGAGAGTATGGGATCAGACACGAAGACTTGGTAGAAGTCATCGAGTTGAACAAAGATTCTGATCATATTTTGGTAAATTTTGTATTTTGTCTTGATTTCCTGACCTAAGAATCTCTTTTTCAAGTAAAATTTATCATCTAATTATCACAATTTCATACAAAATCACACTAGTTAATATTATAAAGGCGAAAATTTGTGAGTGTGTATGTTTGTTACTTCTTCACGTCTAAACGGCTGGGGCGATTTTAATAAAATTTGATAAGGAGTTAGCTGACACCCTTGATTAACACATAGGCTACGTTTCACTGCGGGAAAAATCTCTAATAAACAGCTAGTAAATAATAAATATTTTGGAATACAAATCTTAGTGAGAGTTAAGTTCCTTTGCTTTTGAAAAGGTGTTAAAAATGATTCACTGACTTTTAGAAGGCTTTTGATAATGTTTTTTAGCGGTCACTTGTCACTTTGCGAAAACTTAGAATGCTTTGGAATTGATTTACTAAGGCAGCTCTCATATCTTATAATAGACAAAAGAAGTCAGCTTACTATTAAACAGGGACATCACTCGTCTCGAACTATAGTTTCTTCTGGAGTTCTGCAAGGTTCGCATTTAGGGTCATTTACTTTTCTTAAAAAATGCAAACGATCTCAGTCGATTGTAAAAAAAAATTGTCCGCGTGGATTTTTTTCTAATAAAAGTTTCTTTAGATATGTATGGGTAATGCGATGTGTGCCATACGTTTTGAACGAAGTAATAATGCCTTATTTTCTGCAGGCCAACGGTCTAGTTGGCAATTTCTCCGGAGCAGGAGCGCTAGGCTTCCGCTACCTGTCGCTGGTGCCTCATCAGACGGCGTGCCTGGATGTGGGACTGCTTTCAGAATTCGAGGTAAAAAAAGTTGTACTTTTGCAACACTAGCCTTTGCTGAGTTTCTTGTCGGTACTTCTCATAACAAGGTCTCCCGCTAAATAAATATTGATTATTTATATATATTCCATCCATAGGAAAGGCCTGTGCCCCAGCAGTGGGGCATTAATAGGCTGAAGATGATCAGTTACCCTAGTATCCCATAGCACAACCCTTACCCCTTAATTAATAAACGCAGAATAAGCTTGGATTAGTTAATCCATGTTTCGCCTCTATTCATTGAATTACAAATGGCATTTGAGTGATAATTATGAACTAAAAAATTTTAAACAAAAAATAGAACCGACTTCAAAATCGACAATCCATTTTCGATTTTTAGTTCCAACTAAAAAGTAAAAAAAATAATATCTGGTTCATGATTTTGAAGTCGGTTTTATTTTTTGTTTAAATTTCTTTCATTTCATACATTTTAGTGAAAATTACATGGTCCAAGTAAACAATTACACTATTGACGGAGAAATCGGTGATCATGCATAAAAAAACATCGTGCGTGCCTTTGAAATGTGAAGGTTTCCCTCGATTCCCCCGGATACCAACCATCAGATCCTGACTTGGTTCCAATGGGACCACCTCGGAAGTCACTCTTTCGATTAAAAAAAGATTTTTGGAAATCGGTCCACAATTGGCAGAGAAATCGCTGAACATACATAAAATACTAGCTGACTCAGCGAACTTAGTACCGCCATAAAAATAGGGGCAGGTGGTGGAAGAGAAAATTTAGGGTTGTAAGTATTTTTTAATACCACAAAATATAAACGGTCCAAAAAAAATTTAGGGGTATGTAACGTAGTGTTCTATCAATTTCCTGGGATAAATGATATCCCATATACTCCTAACCAATATGAGAACACAACGTTACAATACCCAATAGTTTGAATTTTGGCGCGAAGGTGCATTGTAGGTTTCAGAACACTACGTTACAGGTGGACAACCATTATCAATTAAGGATATGAAAAATAGATAGTCGCCGATTGTCAGACCCACAGAATATGCATATAAAATTTCATAAAAATAGGCCGTTTCGGAGGAGTATGGTAACTAACATTGTGACACGAGAATTTTATATATGACGAACACAGAACCTCCTCCTTTTTTGAAGTCGGTTAAAAATGGCGTAACTAGTCTAAGCCTTTTCTTCTTTATTAATAAGAAGTTTAGAGTGTTATTTGGGGCTAGTCTAATTGTTTGGGTGTAAGAAATACTTTATTTATTTATTTCCACAGATTAAATTTATAAACGATTACCACGCTCGAGTTTTCTCCGCCCTGGGACCTATACTTCGTGAGAGGAATCTGATGGACGACTACAGGTGGTTGGAAAAGGAATGCGCGCCAATCCGCAACGCCGCCATCTTTGTGAAGTCGTCGCCATTTTTATTCATTAGCATTGTTAGTCTATGGTTTGTTTAAGTGACAAAAAGTTACGTGCCAGTTGCCATATTCATTTATATCTATGGTGCTAGGGGCTTTGAGAACTTGATAAGTTGCAGTCTTAGATAAAGAATCCTATTGTAGTGATAAAGGTGTCGATTCTGGCGTGATTCTCTAAACTTAATTTAACATCATTCTCTCATTTTCATTCTGTATAGAGAATGACAAGGATACACTGTTGACAAATTTATGTTTAGGTTTAGAGAATCATGTCAGAATTGCCACCATAATATTGTTGGTGCGTCGCTGTCCGTCACACCTTTTATTAAGAATTAAATACGTACGAATTTTATAAACTTAATATTTTCATTAATAAAAAAATCTACCAATAAAATTGTGGTTTCATTTATTACAATTTACAACCAAATGTCTGTGATCACAGCCTTCATTATCTTTATATATAAAGATAATGAAGGTTCTCGTGGTTCTGCCCAATCCCATACAAATGAAAGAAGGTTGCTGCAAAAGCTTGAATTTGTAGGATTTAAAAGGAAAACTGCTGTACTGGTTTTATCCATTCCTGTGTTTGCTTAGGGCTGGTGTGCATCTTCTTGCAAAAAAATGGTGTGGTTTTATGAAACTTTAAAATCATTAATAAAAAAGTCCTTCGTCTGGGATTCGAACCCGGGCCACCCACATAGCCGGTGAGCTTTCATGCTTATTTTTCAATACGTGAGTATTCAGAATTTTAATCAATATTTTTATGAGGGCAACTAGCTACTATAAGGAAATCTTATCTTTATAACAATCTGTGACAAAGTTCATTGAATACTGTACACTCCTGTTATAGGTGTACATAATCAGACTGTAGTGTTGCCGATCGATAGTCGACTATCGATGATTAATCGATACTCTATCGATAGCCAACTAATCGTATGACAATTGATCGGCTTATCGATAGTATCGATAGCACAGAAAAAGCCAATACTATCGATAGCATTGTAGTTCGTTAATAACAAACTATCGATAGTATCGATACTGTCGATTTTATTCGCAACCATACTATCGATAGATTAACAATTTGCAATAGTATTGTTTACAATTTTCAGGTATTATAGTCAATCACAAACTTTAGTCTAAAACAATCGCTAGTATCGATACTATTGTTGCAAATAAAATCAACACTATCGATAGTATCGATACTATCAATAGTTTGTTATTGATTATATTGATAGGCCTATCGATGATATGATTTTCGATGTAAGCTGTCGATAGTTTTAATATTGATAGTTCGGCAACACTATCAAACTGCATATTACACTAATATTATAAAAGCAAAATTTTGTGAGTGTGTATGTTTGTTACTTCTTCATGTCTAAACGACAGGAGCGATTTTAACAAAATTTGGTATAGAGTTAGCTGCCACCCTAGAGAACACATAGACTATGTTTTACTGCAGGAAAATATAACACACCTTGGGGCACAGCTAGTTAAAATAATTCTTTTTTATCACTTGATATTTTTAAAATAAAATTATAATAAGTTCTGTGTTTTAAATTTATAAATTCAAAATGCACAACTATTAACTACACATTAAAACAGGAATGCTCAGAACAAAAAAGAAAAAACAGCCATATGTTTTAAGCATTTTTACTTATAAGTTAAGCTGATCACATTAATATTTGTAAACTACTATAGAGGTAACATTCATTTAGTTCTTGTCGCGGTAGTGTTTGATGTTAACAAGCACCCATGCAGGGATCGCTGACCAACCAATCACCATCATGCTGGCCAAGACGATCAGCTCCTGAAAGCCAGAGAGTAATAAATCAATCCACAATATAATCTCAAAATAGATCTCCATGGCCAAGTGGTTTGTACACTGGGTTTCATGGTGTCGCAGACTCAAGAGGTCCCAGGTTCGAAACTCCGGTGGGGGCACATGTTTGTGTGATGAATACAAGCATTTGTACTCCAGTCATGGATGTTTAATACGTATTTCTTTATAACTATACATATATATGTACAGTATATGTATTCTATCCATTACCCTAGTATCCCATAACACAAGCCTTACAGTGCTTACTTTTGGGCTAAACTAATTGGTGTGTGTTGGAAAAAAAGAACTGGCAGTATGACGTCGTTATAATAATATTGGATTTCCGATCCTTTGCTGTGCAGAAGAGGAGACAAGTGACTGCAAAGGTGTTGCTAGACTAAGGACTGAACATTTGGGCAGTCCGCAGACGGTACTAGAGATTAGAGACAACATCAAGGGACTTTTGAGCTTCTTAGGGGAATAGGATGGCAGGACTTCATTCATCAAAGAAATGCAATAAAGTCACTTAATTTCTGTGTAAAACGGTCACAGCCACAGAACAAAAAATAAATAAAAAAATGCTGAGTTGCGGAAATTACCCCTGTCGAGAAGAAGAATATAATCTGTCCTTTTTAAATATAAATAAATTATGCACAAAGCATAACAATTTCAACATTAACATTTCATAATAGGAAATGTTGTGCAAATCTCTTTTTTGAATCATCCTATAATAGTACATTATGATACGCGTGACCTAAGTTGCCTATTACTGCATTGCGTGAAGTTAGCGCCCGAGCGGAGCGAGGATGCTAAACGTCGTGCAGTAATAGACAACTAAGGCCACAAGTATCGTATACTATTTTATAGCAAGTGTGACGTAAACCCGCCCCAGACGCAGGCAAGAGGGGGGGTTGCGAGGGATGCGTTTAGTGTTTTGAAAGTAAAATTCATGTATTGTAATCACAAAGAATTGCATTACAGACTGCAAGTCAAACTCTGAAAAGAAAGAATTCCGGTTCAGATTACCATTTTGAAAGTATATTTCAAAAGGAAAAAATCAAATATCATTACAACAAAATAACCTAACCTATCGCTAATTTGTCATTTGTTTGCTGTGAATTTTTAAGCTCCAAATGACATTTAAATGTGTTTCCTTTTATTTTTTCTACATGAGTGAAGTTGGTCAATTCATTTACACACCGTGCAGAAATAGGCAACTTAGGTCACGGAAAAGCGTGCGTAAAGTGTGGGTTTAGGTCACACTGTGCTATAAATGTTTTTTCATATGGCAGGACATCTATGAGTTGGATAGAAGAATGAGTGCAAAACTTAACAACTTTTAATTAAAATAGTAACAATAATTAAAGTGCGAGGCCATTTTTTACCAATTTACAACAATATGTACATTAACACAAATTGATAGTGTTAATTAAACTAATTTCTTTTAAAATTGTAATGGATTAGATTTTGGCAGAATACAGGACTTAATCACTAACATTTAAGTATTTAGATAACGTAGAAAAACCTATGTTAAGAGTAGGTAGGTAAGTCTGCAAATTTTTAGTACATTCTACTCAGAATTTGATGAATTCAATAGTAAGGTTAGATTTTTGTGTATAAAATTACGTAACAGCAAAATTACCAAATTATGGTATTTCTGTAGTTTGTTAGTGTAAAATAGTTAAATTATCCAATATTTTTTAATATCTTTCATATTTTAAGCAATCGTCAGGTCAATTAATGCAAAAATGTAACGAGAGAAGGCAGTAATAAATATATACTTACGCCTTTTGAGACCTTATTCCTGGCCGGAGTAGCAGTCACACTCATATTTCTCACTTGGGCCACATTCTTGGCTAGTTGGGCATTGCTCCTGACGAGATTTCTGATGGCGAACATTTTGATTTAGTTAAAAATTCACTCAGCTGTAGCACAAGTTCAGATAATTTTATGGGCTTATCTGTCAAAATTGGTCATTGCCAGTTAGGAGTTAGGGATGTCAAAATTATCATTTTATTTAAAACCGATTATTTTTCTTTTGCTACTCAATTTATTCAATCAATTTTAACAATAAGTTAAACGATTATTAAAATAACGATTTTTTATAATTTCTCGTTGTTTTTTTTTATCAGAGACACTTTTGGGGTCGGTATCCTATCAAGATAATCATAATCATTATTATCAGATCAGTGTAAGATACCTCTATAAATGAAACTACGAATTACGAAGATCACATATTCTCTTCACAGTTCAGCAGTTTAGAGAACAAAAAAAATATTTATAATAAAGGTTTTAAGTCAGTTTGATTTTTGATTCCTTTGCTTAAAAAAATGTTTAAGGAACATTACTAAACTTGACACTATAGCGGGTGATCACATCATCTAAAGCAGAGGTTCCCATACTTTTTTGTGTCGTAGACCCTTTGCATGTTTTTAGGTTTGGGTAGACCCCTACTTACTTTATATTGATTTTTTGTAAATTTTTATCTGTAGGGAAGTTAGTGTATCAAGATAATACTGGTAGATCATTATATGCAGGTTTATACAACTTCAAAATGTATTGCGACCACAAAACGAATATCTTACAACTTACAAAAAAATTTACAAACATATATATAATATTTTTTATTATTTCATAGATACTTTTATAAATAATGTATATATCTTTTATATATGTATATATAATAAGTACTATCAGTGTATGTTGAGAACCATTATCGTGGACCCCCATTTTCATTTCATGGACCCCCAAATTCTTTTTTCGCTAACGTAGACCCCTTGCAGGTCGTCATAGACCCCTAGGCGTCGATATAGACCACTTTGGGAATCACTGATCTAAAGTATGATTAAAATGTTAGTGTGTTTATATATTTGCATGTTATGTTTATGTACTTGTATTTTATTTTTTGTTGTACATAATTATTAATAAATATTATTAATGGCAATTTCACTTTATGCTTTAAAGTGACTTTACGCGGCGCGCGTACAACGTACTGCGCGTGCAATATAATAACGCGTTCAGGATATTGTTGGGGCTGGCGCGATTTTGTAGTGCTTCCACAATGTTTGCAGAGGCGCGTACCATTGCTTTTATGCAGTAATGCGCAAGCCTACTGGGTCGCTGCTATCGCGCGTGCGCGCCAGCCCAAACAGTATTGTGCGCGCGCTGTTCGAACGCTGGGATTCACCGCTGCTTATGCGTTGGATTCATCTGCATACAGCGGCGGTGACTCCTTAGTTGTTAATTTTATTTGTATTTTTATTTATTGAAGTTATACTTCTTTAGGCGCGTTATGAAAAAATGATGAGAGTGAAATTAAAAGATGCGCGCGTAACACAAAATTTTAATTTACTTTTGTGTTTACCGCACATTAAGAAAATCTACCAACAAAATAGAAATAGAATCTCTATTTAGTGGGTGCTAACGACTGCATTGTGAAGGCCTATCAAAAGTATTTATTAATCTGGAACAACGGAACCAAAGCGCGATTCAGGAGACTACAGCGCCATCTCTTGACCATTGGTGTAGTAGAACCAAAAACCACATCTTTATTTTTTGTAATAAAGTAACAGTTATAGGTATTCATATTTATAATATTTATCCACATGTTTCTAGTTTGTATATTCGGAATACGTGTTTGAGTTTCATACAAGTGCAAATCACATATGTTCTAATAAATTATATTCAGTATCGATTTTAATTGAATATTTTGATTATTTATTTATTTTTTCAAATTAAATCTGAACTTTATTGACTGTGTCCTTTTCCAGACTTTTTATTAATTTATTGTAATTAATGATTTGTATGCAATTATAAACTAATTTTAAACGATGCCAAAGAAGGATAACTTCTCACGCGCCTACATAAGTACACGCACCCATTTTTTTTTTAATATGTTTCTTTTGTTTTTTATTTAATTTTATTTTATGGATTCAATTTACTAATACTAGATTTGTAAGCATAATTGTTACTAACCATTATGGATGAATAATCTGAAATAAATGTTATTATTATTATTATTTATGTGACACCATCTACTTCCCACTCTCTTTGTAACAGTCCAGTTAACATACGGTTGTCTGGAAGAAATTGCTTCTTAGCGATAAGGCCGCCGTTTGTACTATTATGCAATATTCTTAATTAATTGTAATTTAAAATTTCATGCTGCACAATAAAGTGATCATTCATTCATTTATTCCACTTTGTAATATATTAATATTAAAAACGATAAAGTCACAAATTAAAAGACTTTTGGCACAAAACACTGTAAACACAACAGACGTTGACAACCTATGTACTTAGCCCCAGCAGGTTTTTTTTTATGTTATAGGGGGCATACGAGCAGACGGCTCACCTGATGGTAAGTGATTACCGTCGCCCATGAACACTTGCAACACCAGGAGTATCACAAATGCGATGCCGGCCTTTAAGGAAGGAGTACGCTCTTTTTTTGAAGGTTTTTGGGTCGTATTGGTCCGGAAACACTGCTGGCGACAATATATTCCACAGTTTTGTCGTACGTGGTAAAAAATTTCGACAAAAACGCACGGTTGTGGATAGCCACGCATCAAGATGATGGGGATGAAATTTTTGTCGCGATGTACGATGGCGAAATGCAGCAGCTGGAATTAATCAGAACAATTCCTCAGAACACTCCCCGTGATAAATGCGATAGAAGATGCAGAGCGAAGCTACATCTCTACGCAAAGCCAAAGGATCAAGCTAATCGGAAAGATCCTGGTCGTCGACGATTCGAGCCACTCAAAGGGAGAAGCTGGTACTGGGGTGCCCCCGCCCAAAGATGAGAGCAGTACTCAATGTGAGGCCGAACCTGTGCCTAGGTACAGTTGTTTGTTTTTTAGGTAGGAACTTAAAATGGCGACTGGCCGCAAATAGGCAATTCAATGAGATCACTTTATAATGTTGCCGTTATAAGTTCAGGCAAATATAATGTTGTCTCTTTAGGTTAGGTTGGTTAAATTGAGATGGCTATAAGTTTATGAAAACAATGTCGATATCAATCATATTTGTATAACAGATTGTTCGTATAGAATATACGAACAATCAATATATATATACTATGACTTCTCCATAGGTTTAAGTATTCAGAGAGTCAATTGTTTTTTTAGAGATGCCGAAAGTGAAAAAAAAGTAATATCGATATTTTTAAATATATAAATATCGGCTTCGATACATCGCGAAAAAAATATTGATATATTCAACACATTTTTCGAAAAATTTGCGTTTTAAAAAAATATATTTAGATCAGCCTAGCACAGTAACAACAAAACAAATTATAAAGAAAGAACTATCAAAATCAAATTACCAAATTGCCATTACATGCCTTTAAATTAACGCCTCACACTTGACAGTAGAGTATCTCACTAAAGATGACACGTGAAATATTAATGGAACGAAAATTATCTCCTTAGAAATAGACCCTATTTTCGAATGATGAAAGTGATAAAATGGCCTCTCTGGTGCCATCTTTCGTAAATGAGACTAGACAGTCACACACTACTATAGAATAGATTTATAGAATTTATTCATTTATTTTTTCCATCTTTTATGACTTTTAATTCTAGCGAATTTAGTTAGATCGTGATGTCACGCTAATAATAAAAAAATATCGTTTTTGATACTAATTTCGATATCGGTGTTTTTGTAGCAATGTATCATTTTATCAGATAAAATATATATCATCTAAAAGTACCGATATATGGAATAACTTAATCGTAATATCGATACATCAATATATTTTCAACAAGCCTAGGAGGCCGAAATGGAGAAATTCACGGCCGTAAAACTTATAAAAAAAAAACAAACTCAGAATCCTTTGCCCGTCACAACAGGGACAAATTAACCAAAAAAAAAAACAAGCCTAGGTGGTTTGACATTGACAGTTGTGTTGTTTGGGTGAATTGTTGTTTGATCGGTGCGTGCGGTTTGCTTCTATAAAATTTACAAAGTAAACCTCGCTCCTACTTAATTTTTTGGATAAAACAATCTTCGTACATTCACCGAAATGGCTGTAAGTAATTTCAAGCGAGACACATTGTAGTTTTTTATATTAATACTTATTGGGTGTAAAACATAACCTCAAAAATACATAGGTTTTCGCAAATTCGTGTCTATTAAGTTGTAATTATGCCTTTTTTCAGTCTATAGCGGCAGCGCAGGTGCAGGAAGTGCGATCTATCACACGCATTGAGCGTATTGGTGCACATTCTCATATTAGAGGATTGGGACTTGATGACTCCTTGGAGCCTAGGGCTGTGTCACAAGGCATGGTTGGCCAGAAAATGGCCAGGAAAGCCGCCGGTGTTATCCTGCAGATGATCAGAGAAGGTTGTTCAATGTTCCGTTGCTATGGTAACCAAAGCGTTGTTAGGTAACCTCAAATCTTGATATGCCTGGTACCCAAGACCCATCATATATTTTAGTTTGGATATACTGTACTTCCAGGACTAAAAGGTACTTAATTTCAATAGCTGTGGTTGATTTACGGGGTAGTTTGGGGGGGGGGGGCCCCCATGGCAAGGTACATGGTAACAATTCTATATCCTAGCTATAATGTTAGTGAACATGTAAGTTTAAAGCAATAGACCGTTTTTTGTCTCACCAGATGGCGCCACTGTTAATATGCATGTGTGTGTGTAATCAAAGTTTATATTCAAATCATATTTTAATAGAAATGTATTGGAAACATAATTGACCATGCTACAGTGTTGTGCAGTTCGGTTTTAGTCGGAAAAAAGGAGGACATAATAATTTTTCTTAGCTTTGCTTTCAAAGAACTAACATTCATTGACATGTTACTGATATCTGAGTTATTACCTAATATATTTTTTTTTAGTTTGAAATAATCCGTAAAACATGTTCAACCCACAAGCAATAACATTTGATATTTTGGGGACCACACACTATACAAGCGCCTCTAACGGCGGATTCAGAAGCGATAACCCTCATTAATGGCATTATTTACGTTAATTATTTCAGGCAAGATTGCAGGCAGAGCAGTGTTATTGGCAGGCCAACCTGGTACTGGGAAGACGGCTATAGCAATGGGTCTTGCCCAAGCTTTAGGACCAGACACTCCCTTCACTAGTATGGCTGGTAAGCACTGACAATTCACCGATCATAGTTAGCGAACAACGGATCCACTTTATAATTAGTTCGTTTATTAATTTTAACTGGGATACTGGTGTTGATTCTGGTCAGTCAGTCTGTCTCTCCTTTTTACTCTGCATAGAGAATGGAAACGATACGCAATCAAAAGAACCACACTTTGTCATTTATAATTTTAATAATGCTATCCACAGATATTTTCTAGCATTATCATAATTTTACTTTGTAACTTAAGTATCATCATCATCAGCCTATTGATGCCCCCACTGCTGGGGCACAGGCCTTCCCTATGGAAGGAATAGGGAGATTGGGGAGATTGGGGCGTGACCCACCACGCGGGCGCAGTGCGGATTGGCGGGTGCTAGAGATTGCAGATGCAGCCGGGACCAACGGCTTAACGTGCCTTCCGAAGCACGGAGGAGCTCGAGACAGTAAATTTTTGGTCACCCATCCAATGACCGACTACACTTAACTTCAACGATCGTAGCAGAACGCACTAACCACCTGCGCCATCGAGCTCCTCTATCATAGTAAGCATCATCGAAAGCATTGAAATAATTAATATCAAAATAATATGGCATAATTTACATAGCACTATTACCTGTGCATAGTAAAATTATGATAATACTAAAAAATACTGTTAAATATATATACAGTAGAACCCGTTTAATACGATCACGCTTAATACGATTTCTCACATAATACGCCGTTTTGCGTCAGCCCTGCAACTTGAGACATGTTTTCATACATTTCTTAACGCTTAATACAATTCGGCATCCCGTTTAATACGCCTAAATCGCCAACAAGTACCACACATATTAACCTCTTGCCGCACTAGCGATTGACGTGACGACTGTCTTGCGACGCAAGCTAAGCGGCTCCCTGGGTTTTCCTAGATGTTCTTCCTGATGACAATGTGGCACCGTATACAATTCAATGAGAATGTGAATAACACACAAGAAGAGGCCCTAAGTGATATGATTAAAAAGATGAGTCAACACTGATTTTGTCAGCAGTAAATGATTTAAGACGTTATGTAACTTCTTTGAATCAAAGTGAAGACACATTGCAAAAGTTAAATTATGTTGAAAATCCTGTAATTGTTAATGCCTCAAAATCTTTTTTAACAAACAAAAATAAGTAATTAATTTAAATAATGTTATAATAAATAATACATTTTTTATTACATACATAATTCTTAAATATTACACATTTAATACCTCAATACCTACATTTTCCCTATCCCGTAATCCTCCTAAATCCACGCGTCTTAAGCGGGGAATCCTAATACGCTTTCCTGCTTAAGACGCGTTTTTGGTAGTAAACAGGTTTTACTGTATATGTATATATATTCTTTTTAACAGGCTCTGAGATATTTTCCCTGGAAATGAGCAAGACTGAAGCCCTTACGCAGGCCATCAGGAAATCTATAGGTATCAGAATTAAGTAAGTAAGTTTATTAGTAACATAAATTTTGTAATAAAATTTTTATGATCTGTCACTGTGACAAATATGGTAGTTTTGTATAAAAAACTAAACTTCTTATTTTTAATTTATGGTTTTCTTAGATTAAAACAAAAAGGGAAGATACTACACTTGTGGCTCAAAAGTGATCCGCTTAAATTGTGGTGCATGACCACAATACGCTTTAGTCACAATTGGACATTCAAACACGCTGCATGTGCACTCAAAATAACAATATTGCGTATATTCTGTGTTATAAAGATAAAACAATGCCTTCGATGCTTTTATAAAGAACACAAATACTTTAAGATCAAGAAACTTTCACGGTCATGAATGATATTTACTTTTTCGCCATTTGTTATTAAGAAAAGGCCAACAATACAGCTTAGCCGATTATCAAGCCAAGCGACGCGGACTCACCGTTTCGCTCGCGCTGCGTTGAAGCTTATAGTTCTGTCTCGCTCGCTCGATTGTATGATTATTTACAGAAGTGTGCGTGCAGGTTGCTTATGTAGTTGAGTCGGAGCATATTTTATTTGATGCCAGTATGAGCGTACCATATCTTCCCTTCTTGTTTAAATCTAAGATTGTTTTTATTCAAAGGCTCCTTTTGTTTCGATCTGAAACTTCGATCAACAATGCCATTAAGTAGCCAATCAAGAGTTTCGAAAATGGTTGAAAAATAACGTCTCACTTCGAAGCGAGGTTTAACTCGAGGAAATTCGACGCGGCCATCGGTGCCGCGGTAGCATAATGGTCAGTGCATTTGCCCGGATAGCGAAGGGTGCTGGTTCGAGTCCTATCTGCTGCCTGGTCCGTGTGGATTTTTTTCTAGTAAACTTTTCTTTAGGTTTAAACATCTAGCAGTTAAATGTTTAAAAAATAAAAATATAATGATCATGTCTCTCGCTATTCTGCATTAAGCAAGTAATCCGTAAGATCATTCTGTTATTGAAGTTATACTTCTTTAGCCGCGTTATGAAAAAATTATGAGAGTGAGATTTTAAGATGCGCGCGCATCACTGTAACACAAAAGTAACATAATGAAGTTAGCCGCGGGCGCGTTATGAAAAAATCATGTGAGTGAAATTTCGAGATCCGCGCGCATCACTGTAACACAATAGTAACACCATGAAGTTGGCCGCGGGCGCGTTATGAATGTTAGTGTCTAATAATGGTGGATTATTAACCACTAAGTGGTTAATAATCCACCATTATTAGACATCTGTTCGAAAGGTACTTTGAACGATCCACGGAGCTCCATAAGATGATCGCGTTGTCAAAAACAATGTTGGCACGCTCGTCGCCTCTGATCACTGTTGTCATATTTATAATATTTATCCACATGTTTCTAGTTTCTATATAGACACAACGTGTTTTAGTTACTTACAAGTGCTAATTACATATGGACTAATAACTTAAATTCAGTAGTGATTTTAATTGAATATTTTGAATATTTATTTAATTTTTCAAATTAAAACTGAACTTAATTGACTGTGTTAACTATCCTTTTCCAGTCTTTTCATTATTTTATTGTAATTATTAATTATTTGCATGCAATAAAAAAATATTTTTAATGATGCTAAAGAAGTATAACTTCTCACGCGCGTACATAAGTTACACGCATCCTTTTTTTTATTTTAACCTCAACCTTATAGTATACCTCAGTACAATAGGGTATTTGAAAAGTTTTAGAAAACGATCTCACGTTATTGACTTTAATGGAGTCCATAAAAAGTGGATATTCATCATTCTGTTGTGTATTCCAGTAAAAATAACCAAATCAAAAACTCCATTTTCAAGTTGCCGCGAAAACGTTTCTCTGGACAATATGGCGTCTTACTAGTGTGTGACGCCACACGACTGTTATTAAAACGTCAAACGATACAATGTAATGTCACTTTAACCGGAAGTTTACTTGCGTGTGACGTCATTTGAGGCTCCGCCAATCCCAAGCGTTTTGGGTCACGTGACAATAGATAAGAAAACCATTATCTTTTTCGTGGGTTTTTAGTAAAATTATGTTTTTTTTTTGTAAAAATAGTAAAAACCCCTGCCAATATTCATTCTAAACACAGATGCTAACAATTGGCACTTTATTTTTAATACTGCCAAATACCCTATTAGTGATTCTGTCTTATTATAGGTAGTTTAAAGTTTATTTCTTTCCCCTTTTCCACTTTAGAGAAGAATCCGAGATTATAGAAGGCGAGGTGGTCGAAGTATGCGTAGAGAGGGCTGCCGGGAGTGGAGGGGCTCGGGTGGGGAGACTCACTTTGAAGACTACGGACATGGAGACCAATTACGATATGGGGAGCAAGATGGTGGACTCGCTGCTTAAGGAGAAGGTGAGTGGATTTACTAGTATTAGGTATTTGATGAAGGAGAAGGTTAGTGGATTTACTGTTGTTAGGTATTTGCTTAAGTATAAGGTGAGTGGATTTACTGGTATTAGGTATTAACTGGTTTTAGATATTTGCTTGAGGAGATGGTGTGTGGATTTACTGGTATTAGGTATTTGTTTAAGAATAAGATGAGTGGATTTACTGTTATTAGGTATTTGTTTAAGGATAAGACAGTTTATTTACTTGTATTAGGTATTTGTTTAAGGATAACGATAGTGCATTTACTGGTATGAGATATATCACTTCTAATATTATTAATGTGAAAGTTTGTATGCTTATATTTTTATTTTTAATTATTTAACTGCTAGATGTGAAAATGTAAACCGCACTCGGGGACTTCGAATCGCATTGTAGGTAACCCACAATGTCAATGAATACCTTTACAGTTGTGGTTTGGCTACAATGCGTAGAGATGGCGCTGCCATGCAGCCTAAGAAATACAAGAGAAATTTCGACGAGGTCTTTTGAAGGTCTTATGAAGTTTTTGGCGCAAATTAAATTTGGAATTAAAATTGATTCATAGTCTATTACGACATAGATGATTTGACGTATGAGTAGGCCTTCCGTCTAAGTGTTGCCATCTGGCACCCGTCATACCAGATAACTCGTTAAACCCCGCAGACGAAGTTGCGGGTATCCTTTAGTATAACGGCGCGATTACACTTGGCCCGAATACTTGAAGTAGCTCGATGGCGCAGATGGTTAGCGCGTTCGGCTGCGATCGTTGAAGTTAAGCAACTTTCGTAGTGGTCGGTCATTGGATGGGTGACCGAAAATTTACTATTTCGATCTCCTAGGTGTTTCAGAAGGCACGTTAAGCCGTTGGTCCCAGCTGCATCTGCAGTCGTAAGAACCCGTCAATTCGCATTGGGCCCGCGTGATGGGTCATGGCCCAATCTTCCTATTCCATCCATAGGGAAGGCAGGCGCGGTCGCCTGAAATTTTGGAGAATTTCACACCTGAATTTTCAAAAATATTTTTTATTATATGATGTATTTATTATATTTTTTAAAGACACACCAATTAGCCTAGCCCCAAAGTAAGCACTATAAGGCTTGTGTTATGGGATGCTAGGGTAACGGATAGAATACATATACTGTACATATATAAGTATATTTATATAAATACATATTAAACATCCATGACTGGAGTACAAATGCTCGTATTCATCACACAAACATCTGCCCCCACCGGGATTCGAACCCGGGACCTCTCGAGTCGGCGACAGCCATGAAACCCGGCGTACAAACCACTCGGCCACGGAGGTCCTCAAATCGTTATCTGTACTATAAGACGTTACTTTGTACCAAATGTCAAGAATGACCTTAGATTCGGACCGCGACTGAGGGAAGGCCTGTGCCCCAGCAGTGGGGACATTAATAGGCTGATGATTCATCATCATACGAGTGCCAATGGAATTTGGGTAAACGTATAAATGAACGTCGTCGAGTACGCCTGTATTCGGGTAGATTTCCTTTCGTTTACCCGATACAGTCCTCCGGCCCGAATTCCAGTAAATATTGCTTATTCTTTTTTTTATTACTTTAAATTATAAATAAGTTGCGAGTACTCAATTATTTATTAAATGTTCCACAGACTAGAGATAGATAATTACAGTTTTTTTTTGTGTTATTGTGGTTTTTATTATTTTTTGCGCTAATAGACCAGGGTCGATAATTTTTGAGACCAAAAAAAATTATAGTAGGAAGAAACCCATTGGAAAAGGTAGAGAATATAACAAAAATGAAAGGAAAAATAAATTACGGGCGATCTGAGGATCTCTGCAAAAAATAAAAATCAAAAACCAAAAACTCGGTTATTAGCATTTTTATGTTAGGTTGTATGATCTTTTTATTACCTACAATTTTGCCATTTAACTTTTTTTCATAGGACTTGCCGTTTTACCGGAAATCGAGATTAACCATTTTTTACCCTTAAAAACTCACCCCCTCCCCCTTCCCGACCTCAGATCGCCCGTAATTTATTTTTCCTTTCATTTTTGTTATATTCTCTACCTTTTCCAATGGGTTTCATCCTACTATATTTTTTTTTCACTTTTCACCATTTTTAAAATTATCGACCCTGGTCTATAAGGCAAAGGAGAAAAACAACAGCCTACGAAAATGTTTTTATTCTTTGTGGTACTGTTTATCCGTGATTGTGTTTCTGTTTTTATGACTTCTTTTATTCACGTCAGCCTTAGGCCCTGCCAGAATATCAGCGCCGCAGCGGCCTTAGTGTCGTTGTGGCATTGTGCTGAGGCAGGGACCTAGTTGACCCTATTCTGTTTTTTGTTTTATTTATGTTTTGTTGGTCAATAAATTATTTCTTTTTTTCTTTCTTTCTTTCTTCGGGTGTCCGAATTCGTATAATGTTTTTCGTGCACCTCAATACGGGCTAACCAGCAAATGTAATTGCGTCATTATTATTGCTTTGTATTTGTATTGTGTATTTGCTTTGTTGTCAGGTCCAAGCCGGTGACGTCATCACCATAGACAAAGCCACTGGTAAAATCAACAAACTAGGGAGAAGCTTCGCCCGCGCCCGCGACTATGACGCCACTGGTATGTGTTTCATCAATACTCCATCATCTGTGGCGGTGACTTCTATTCGCCGCACATATTCAATTCAATTCTTTATTGTCTCTATGGTTTAAAAGGTCTTAAAATATAAAAAAAATTGTGTGTGTCAGCTCCGACGCCGACGCCCGACTGGAGTTTACTCCTTAAGTTCGATAGTCTAACCAGATGCAAAAAGAGTTTATTTAACTTAAAAAAGATTGATACTGTATGAAAGGGTAAATTAACAAATTAATGAAAATAATATACATATATAAATATATAATCGACGAAATATTTTACATTAATCTTTTTACAATAGTCAATTTCAGATGTGCATAAATATATCATTAGGAATGTTGATAAATTATGTAATTATTATTATCAGAATATATATATTTTTTTCAATATTAATTAAATCAACATTGTCTGCATTATTAATTACAGTGACAAGTGGTTTATGGTAACTAAAATAAGACACATGGACGTTCGTAGATACGTGGTTCACGAATCTTGAAAATACCGCATCAATGGTTGTACCATACCTCATTGTCCCCATTGCTCTGTCAGAAACAATATCTAAATTCAGTTCAGATTTAAAAAAAAATATTAATGTCAATCCGTCATCTTTGTTTGCCAAAGTTGCGCGACATAGGATGCGCACCAAAAACGTAACGAGGTCATTCATCGATAGATTTTACTCCTCACATTTTTCTCATACCGGGCCCCTTATATATGCAAATCGATTTTTAAGGAGTAAACTCCAATACATTAGGTACAAACATGGAACCCCATTGGGGCACTACAATATAATAAAACAATTTACTTTAAAATAAATAAAAATCAAATAATATTATTAACATGTCAACGTGGCTTAAATACAATTGGGTACTAATTGAAATAAATATCATTCAATTTATTAATAGGCACTCATTAAAATACAATGTCAAAAAAGTATTTTACAATGTCAATTTAGTATAATAATGTAATTTTGTTACTTTAACTAAAACTCTTCCAAACTATAAAATGCTTTACCTATTAAATAATCTTTTAAAGCTTTTAGAAATGATTTATCATCAACCTCCGATTTCAAGTGTTGTGGAATCTTAATATATATAAATCTCGTGTCACAATGTTTGTCCTCAATGGACTCCTAAACCACTGAACCGATTATAATAAAATTCGCACACCGTGTGCAGTTCGATCCAACTTGAGAGATAGGATAGTTTAAATCTCAAATTATAGTCGCAATTTTAATTTATTGCAAATTATTACTTTTGGGCGGTACGAAGTTCGCCGAGTCAGCTAGTTTTATTATATATTTTAATGCACATGACAAATGTACTACTGCTAATCATTTCTAATGTACTGGTAAGTGGAGATTATCTTTAAAACGTATGTTTAGTGTATTTTCCCGCATTTGTTCGTTAGACTTAAAATAGCTTGGGTTTTGTTTAACAAATTTACAGAGTTCGAAAATATAACACACATACGCATACATACATACACACACCCACACTTCATTAACCGACTTCAAAAAAGCAGGAGGTTCTGTGTGCGACTGTATATACAGTAGACTTGCGACGAATATTCGGTTACTATTCGGTATTCGGCCTATTCGGCTGCTTTTATTATATTCGGCCGAATACCGAATATCTACATATTATTCGGCCGAATACCGAATACTTAAATAATATATTTTGTCATAGAGAAATAATTGGTAAAATGAAAAATTAAAATCGATTGATTACGTATATATATTTATATTTTCATTTCTGTTATATTTAAGTAGTCATTGATACATAAAACAGGTACATAATCATCTTCTGAATTCGAAAAATGGAGGATTCTATGTATTTGAATTATTGTGGTAATCAAAATTTAGAAGGGTAAGGTTCTCATTTCTTTTATAATCATTTATTAAGTAGTCATTGGTACATAAAACAGGTACATAATTTAATCATTTTCTGTATTAAACAAGTTAACAGTTTTTAATTCATTCAGTCATGTGATGAATGGTTACATAATAGCAATAATTTAAAGTTTACGCGCCGTTTTTGGCCATATCTCAAAAGTTGGTTTTGTCATTTAGCCGCATTTTAGCTTGAGGACGGCAGATTAGAACAAAACAAAGGAGCGCGAAACAATCACGTCTGTACAAGTTTTTGGCGCTAAAATCCAGCCGAATACTTTTGCCTAATATTCGGCTATTCGGTCAGGGGCCTCGCCGAATATTCGGTATACTGCCGAATATACTATTCGTTGCAAGTCTTATATACTTACAGTAAAACCCATTTAAGACGATTTCAAAGGGACTCAACCAAAAACGCGTCTTAAGCGGGAAAGCGTATTAAGCGGGATTGCGGGATAGGGAAATTTCGAATGTAGGTACTGAGGTATGAAATCTACAATATTTAAGAATTATGTATGTAAAGATTTTGAGGCATTAGCAATTACAAGATTTTCAACATAATTTAACTTTTGCAGTGCGTCTACGCTTTGATTCAAAGAAATTACATAGCATCTTAAATCATTAACTGCTGATAATGCCTGGGCGCGTGACAAAATTGGAGTTGACTCATTTTCTTCTTGATCATTATCACTTAGAGCCTCTTCTTGTGAGTTATTCACATTCTCATTGAATTTTATGCTGCTTCAAGAGATAATATGTGTGGTACGTGTTACGAATCGTATTAAGCGTTAAGAAATAAATATTTCCAACACTCACACCAATTAGCCTGGCCCCAAAGTAAGCACTGTAGGCTTGTGTTATGGGATACTAGGGTAACGGATAGAATACATATACTGTACATAAATAAGTATATTCATATAGAAATACATATTAAACATCCATGACTGGAGTACAAATGCTCGTATTCATCACACAAACATCTGCCCCCACCGGGATTCGAACCCGGGACCTCTCGAGTCGGCGACACCATGAAACCCGGCGTACAAACCACTCGGCCACGGAGGTCGTCCAATGTATGAAAACATGTCTCAAGTTGCAGGGATTGACGCAAAATGGCGTATTATGCGAGAAATCGTATTAAGCGTGATCGTATTAAACGGCCTCTACTGTATTTCTTTTTCTATGTATGTTCACCGATTTCTCCGTTAATTGTGGACCTATTTCCAAAATTCTTTTTTTATTCGAAAGAGTGCACTTTCGAGGTGGTCCCATTGAAACCAAGTCAGGATCTGATGGTGGAATCCGGGGAAATCGAGGGAAACCTTCAAATTTCAAAGGCACGCACGATGTTTTTTTATGCTTGTTCACCGATTTCTCCGTCAATTGTGTGATTGTTTACTTGGACGATTTAATTTTCACTAAAATGGATGAAATAAAGAATTTTTAAACAAAAAATAAAACCGACTACAAAATCGAAAATGGAACTAAAAAGTAAAAAATTATATCTGCACCATGATTTGGAAGTGGAAAATATGTCCAATAACGAGCGGCGGGAAAACAATTTTGGACAATTAAAAAGAAAGTAATTTTGGACGACCATTGTATGTTAGAGGAGCTCGATGGCGCAGGTAGTTAACGCGTTCGGCTGCGATCGTTGAACTTGAGCAACTTTCGCAGTAGTCGGTCATTGGATGGGTGACCAAAAATCTTCTATCTCTCACTCCTCCGTGCTTCGGAAAGCACGTTAAGCCGTTGGTCCCGGCTGCATCTGCAGTCGTTAGCACCCTCCAATCCGCGTAGTGGGTTATGGCCCAATCTCCCTATTCCATCCATAGGGAAGGTCTGTGCCCCAACAGTGGGGACATTAATAGGCTGCTGATATAATGATTGTATGTTCAGGTCAGCAAGCTCGCTTCGTCCAGTGTCCCGAGGGAGAACTACAGAAGCGTAAGGAGGTGGTTCACACTGTGACATTGCATGAAGTCGATGTCATTAACTCTAGAACACATGGCTTCCTGGCTTTATTCTCTGGTGAGTCGATTTATAGTCAACTTTTAGTATCTGTATTACAGTTATAATAGAGGTGATGACAGGGTACAGTAAACGAAATTCTATTTAGTCCGTCAGTTAGATGATCAGAAAATAATGGACACGTATTTTTTCTTTGTGCAATCAACCAAAACATGACAAAGTTATAGCGCGTCAAAGTTTGTCAGTAGGGGCTCGTGACGTCACTTTTGAGTGAATTTTCACTTATAAGTGTACTCAAACGTGACGTCATGCGACTTTTCAAATCAATATATCTCTGCGATGTTTATATTATGTGAAAAAAGAAAAAATACGTGTCCAATACTTTTTGATAATCTACCTGATAAACGAAGAAAAAAAAGTAAGTCATCATCCCTATTCTGTTTTTAAGCATTTAACTGCTAGATTATTAAGAGCCCTTTCACATTTTTTGCAAAAAATCGTAATTTTTGAGCGCCTCGTTTACCCGCTTAGAAAAGATTTTGACTATTTCCAATAGAAGTAAATAGTAGATTTATTCCTCCTATTGTAAGTTAATCTATATATATAAAACTCAAAGGTGACTGACTGACATAGTGATCTATCAACGCACAGCCCAAACCACTGGACGGATCGGGCTGAAATTTGGCATGCAGGTAGATGTTATGACGTAGGCATCAATTCTACCCCCAAGGGGATAGGGAATGAAAGTTTGTATGAAACTGTCAATTTGAAACCGATCGGGCTGAGACTTTGCATGCAGGTATAAGAAGAATCATAGATAAATGTCATTGTGTATAATACAAGCCTGAGAACAAAAACTGTAGTCTACACTTCAGCTCTACACCGAAGCGAAGCGAGGGCGGGCCGCTAGTGTAGAATATTTGCAAATACTATTTTCCTTTTTTTGTACTGATCGTTCTACCGCAGCTAGTTTACGGAAAAAACAATAATATGCACAACTTCAAACGCCTGAATCTCTCAATAATGTTCAATAAATTAGATCAAATTAATTACTACGACATCAGAAATATGTTTTTGTTGTAATGTATTAGAATTTTGATTTTCCATCTCATTAATTATCAAAAAAGTCATCTAACCTCCGTGAGTTTTCCCAAAAAACAATGCATGTTTACCTCGTATTTTGATATTAAATTAAATAGAATTACTATCAGAAACTTTCATAAAACTAATCTACCATATTTGAACTACTGAAATATGTATATATTTTTATAATTAGTTCATTAATAATTATTTTATAAGACTCTAAACATCACCCATAAAATGCAATATATACAAGTGCAAATCTACCTACGCGCCGATCAGTACGGCAGCGGCGCAATTTTGTAAAAGGGCTCTTAAGTCTAAGGAAAAAAAACTACAATTGCTGTTTCTTCTTTTAAATGTTTAATAATTGTAAAGATATTCATTTCACTTTGAAGGTTACCTACAATAATCATGATCATAATCGGAATCATTAATTCAGTTTAGGCTGTTACAAGCACTCATGAATGTCTAGAAGCTACGCCATCGGTTCGTAAATCTACGGCGGGAGACCTTGTACTGAGAAGAACCGGCAAGAAACTCAGCAAGGGCTGTTTTTTTCTCCCTGTATTATTTATAAAAAGTCGTCAAATTGAAAAATGACTTCAATAAGAGATAACTCATGAAGTCACTTTCCATTACAAAATTAAATGATATAAACATTTTGAATATAAAATAAAAAAATATAAAAAACTGATTTAACAAAGTTTAGGAACAATTTTTATTTTTTAAGCATGTAACTGCTTGATGTTTAAATCTAAAGAAAATATCACTAGAAAACATTCCACGCGGACCAGGCAGCAGACGGGACTCGAACCCGCACCTGACCAATTATGCTACCGCGGCCCTGATGGCCGCGTCGAAATTCGTCTAGCCATTCCTAAGCTGCCAGGCAGCGCCATCTCTTCGCATTGTAGGTAACCCACAATGTCAAATGAATACTTTTACAAGTATTAAACATTTGAAAGAAGACCCGCCAATCCGCACTGGGCAGCAGTGGGGACATTAATAAGCACCTTCGCCCGGTTAGCGAAGGATGCGGGTTCGAGTCCCGTCTGCTGCCTGCTCCGCGTGGAATTTTTTCTAGTTATATTTTCTTTAGATTTAAAGTTTAGGAATGTTTAGAAATGCCGTGTCCTACAGTTTAGGCATAAATGCACTCATACTACTTAAATATCATATCGCGGTGAGCAGTAATGATACTTTTAAATTCTGATGTTGATACCGAAATTTCTAATACAGGTGACACTGGAGAGATTAAATCCGAGATAAGGGAACAGATTAACAGTAAAATTGCCGAATGGCGCGAAGAGGGGAAAGCAGAAATGATTCCAGGAGTGTTGTTCATTGATGAGGTAAGTGCGAGATTTTAGGTGAAAACCGTCATGGATGTTTAATATGTATTTTCTATATAAATATACTTATACTAGCAAACCAGTGAACCAAATGTTCACCAAAAAAAAAAATGTATTCAATTAATTGAGAACTTCGGAGATTTTATGTGGTTTCGTTTGAAATAGAAATCACGTGATTTCTCGAAAACCGGAAGTGCTACGTTACTCAAATCCGGTTTGTAGTCTTATCAGACTATTCTTAACTTATAACTTAAACATTCTCTTTATCTATCTCTTACGGTTTGGCCGCTGAAACAGCACCACGGACGGACGGACTTGTCTATTAGATAAGAGATACGAGTATGTACAGTATATGTATTCTATCCGTTACCCTAGTATCCCATAACACAAGCCTTATAGTGCTTACTTTGGGGCTAGGCTAATTGGAGTGTTAAAAAAAAATGTTGTGGAAATTTTTTGCTCGTCTCTCTCCGCAGCTAGAAAATATGTCCAATAACGAGACGGTAGGAAAAGAATTTTGGACGATTAAAAAAAAAGTAATTTTGTACGACCATTGTATGTTGGAGGAGCTCGATGGCGCAGGTGGTTAGCGCGTTCGGCTGCGATCGTTGTAGTTAAGCAACTTTCGCAGTGGTCGGTCATTGGATGGGTGACCAAAAATTTCTATCTCGAGTTCCTCCGTGCTTCGGAAGGCACTTTAAGCCGTTGGTCCCGGTTACATCTGCAGTCGTTAGCACCCGCCAATCCGCACTGGGCCCGCGTGGTGGGTCATGGCCCAATCTCCCTATTCCATCCATAGGGAAGGCCTGTGCCCCAGCTGTGGGGTCATTAAGAGGCTGATGATGATAATGACGTATATAGTAATAGTACATCCTGAATTTCCAGTTACCTTAGAAACTTAAGTTGCTAATTCAGCCAAAAAATTGATTTCTTCATGAATTTATTTCGTAAAATGTCTCCACGTTAGCTGTCACAAATTAATTAAAATAAAACTTCTTTTAGGATACATGTACTTTAAACACATAGAAAATAATTCCATAACGGTGGCGATTCTGACACGATTCTCTGAACCTAAACTTTAATATGACAACAGTTTATACTTGTCATTCTCTATCCTTGCCATACAGAACAGAATGAAAAGGACAGACTTATGTTAAAAGAGAATGCCATTCCTGGTCCCACTTAGGTCTCTCTTTCCAATAGCTATGTGTGTGACATCGTTAGCTAGGTATTTTTAAGCTGAATAAAAGTTTTAAAGCATGTAACTGCTTAATGTTTAAATCTAAAGAAAATATAACTAGAAAAAATCCACGCGGACCAGGCAGCGGAAGGGACTCGAACCCGCACCCTTCGCAATCCGGGCGAATGCACTGACCAATTATGCTACCGCGCCCTCACGGACCGCGTCGAAACTCTTCTAGCCATTCTTAAGCTGCAAGGCAGCGCCATTTCTTCGCATTATATTGTGGGTTACCTACCTGGTATTGTGGGTGAGGGCCGCGGTAGCATAATATTGGTCAGTGCTATTTGTCTCCATCAATCATACTGGTTGACTGGTAGAGAATGCCTATGGCATTAAGTCCGCCATTTGCTTATGTTTGGCAATAAAGTTTAAATAAATAAATAAAAACTCTTAATGTCTCGCTTAGTGACACTCGTTTCTCCTGGTGACTCCTCCGATGACACTCTTTGTGACCGACCAAGTGTCTCGGCCAGTGACCCTCCGAGTGACTTCCCTAGTGACACATCCAGTGATTCGGCCAGTGACCCACCAAGTGACTCCCCTAGTGACTCATAGAGACTCAGACTGGTTACTCGCTTCGTGACGCTGGATACACCCGATGACTCGCTTAGTGACTCCTCTGGTGACTCCTAGTGACTCCCCTAGAAACTAACCTAATGACTCCACTATAGATTCGCTTAGTGACTACCCTGATCCCCGTATAGCGACTCTCCTAGTGACTCCCCCGGTGACTCCTCAGGCGCACATGCTGGATATGGAGTGCTTTTCATACTTGAACCGCGCGCTTGAGTCCGAAACGTCGCCCGTCCTCATGATGGCCACAAACCGCGGCATCACCCGAATCCGCGGCACCAACTACAGAGGCCCGCATGGAATGCCGCTGGATCTACTGGACAGGATGATCATCGTGCCTACCGTGCCATATTCGCAGCATGATTTGAAGGAGATTTTGAATATTAGGTGAGTGCGCAATCAGAATATTATTCTCACTGACAATGAAGATCGGGCCCCATACCACATCCCTGAGGAACTCCGATGGTATCAGAATATTATTCTCGCTGACAATAAAGAACAGGCCCCATAATGCATCCCTGAGAAAGACCGACGGTAGAAATCTGGCACCATAATGCATCCCTGAGAAAGACCGACGGTAGAAATCTGGCTCCATTATACACCCCAGAGTAACACTGATCATATAAATATATCGGCGTTCTCCAGGGATCCATTATGAGACCTGATTTTTATTTATAGGTGTTTCTCAAAGTTGCATTAAGAGATCAGGTTATTATTATCGGTATTGTTGCATTATGATACCTGATTTGTATATATCGGTGTATCTCAGGGATGCATTATAGGGCCCAATTTCTGTTAATGGCGTTCTTCAAGGATGTGTTATGGTGCACGATTTCTATTATCGGTGTATCTCAGGGTTGCATTGTAGAGCCGAATTTCTGTCAATGGCGTTCTTCAAGGATGTGTTATGGGACGTGTTTTCTATCTTTCATCGATGTACCATCGGGTAGTATTATTATTTATTAAAGACTAAATGCTGCTAGTATTATTATTACATTAATATGTGAAGAAAAAACTTTGTTACCACTTTTAAGTAGGTTTTCTTCATGCAAAGGAGTGAGAATTTGCACAGTAAAAGTTTATACGAAGAAAGAATGCAAAAAGCTAATATTTCCGAATTAAGAATATGGGTGATACGTTAATAATAAAAACCAATGCATATATTTTTAATAAATATAGATGCGAGGAAGAAGATTGCCAAATGTCAAACGACGCTCTCACGGTACTGACACGAGTGGCGACAGAAACATCCCTAAGATACGCCATTCAATTGATCACCACAGCTTCCCTGGTCGCCAAACGAAGAAAAGCTACAGAGGTAATGCTACACAAACAAGATATAATTAAAACATGCTTCATAAACACAAAATGTCTGAAAATTAAGTTATAATTCTTATCCTTTACTTAAAACTTAAAGTACTTTGAGAGTAAAATTGCCATGCCCATTTACCCATAATCAAATTGATCTGAGTTGCTATTCACTATTCTAGAATAAAATAGAATAGAATAGAAAGCTTTATTGTCATGCTGAGTACAATGGTGGTACAAGTAATGTCTTAGTTCTAGACAGCTGCCCGTTTCGAACGTACAATATTCATTATCGATGGTAAATGCTACTAAAAAATTCTACTCTTTTAAATGATAAAAACATTTATCTATTAACCATTTCTTTAATATAATTTTAAACTCCAATAAATTCCAATAATTCTATATTCATTCATCCTATTCCTTAAAAATAGTTCGAACCCAGAAAGACATTTGGGAAGAGTTCTTTTCTTTTTTAATAGAAACAGCGTTTTTATTTTTCAAGTTTAAATCTTAAAATTAAAATATAAAAATAAATGTATTATTTACATGTTATAAATACTTTTACATGTTATAAATCCAGTTTTATTAACTTCTTGCATTCATTCAGACTTTTCGGTTACATAACAGAATGTGGTCGCAAAATCGACTTGTTGAATATATTTGTGGAAAATCAATCAATACGCAGAATATAATGTTCAACTAATTCTATTGCCTGGTAATGTTCTAAACAGGAACTACAAAGACTTAAATATTTTACCTTCAACAATATTTTTTTGAAGTGAAACTTGTTTACGCACGCTGGACTTGAGGGGTAAGCTGGCGAATGCGTTACGCGTTACGAAAAGTGTGTTCGGGCGAGGCGAACGGGAGTTGAGTGGGGGATGTAAGCAAGAGAAAGCAGTGCGCGCGCACATATTCTTTCTCTTATAGCTAGTAAATGAAATATGTTTTATGTATATATTGCACACTTTTTTTTGGGTATATTTTTATTATAATTTCTCGTCTAGGTGAGTATGGAAGACGTAAAGAAAGTATACTCGCTGTTCTTAGACGAGCATCGATCTGAACAGTTCCTCAAGGAATATCAAGACGAGTTTATGTTCAACGACGGCTCGGGAGGTAAGTAAAGGGGTGATAGAGCGAAGGGGGTCCGTCACTTACGTACGTACGTTAGTTTTAAAACAAAATTGTGTAATACACGTTTCTATATGTAGGTTAGGTTATTTTATTACAAAACTAGCGGCCGCTCGCGACTTAGTACGTGTGGAGTTTGTTAGAAATAAAGGTTCACTGCTCGTCCCCCGTAGGTGATAGCGTGATAATATGTACTCTATATGTTGACCCGATTTCTTAATAATATTCGTGCCAAATTTGAAGTAAATCCATGCAGTACTTTTTGAGTTTATCCCGGACATACATACAGACAAACAGACAAAAATTTCTAAAAACTATATTTTTGGCTTCGGTATCGTTGTAGATCACACCCCAAGTATTCTTAAAAAAATTATTCAATGTACAGTTTTGTCTTTCCTACCATTTTATTATATGTATAGATTACCACGCGGGCCCAGTGCGGATGCTAGCGACTTCAGATATACAGCCTGGACCAGCGACGTGCTTAATTTCATTATTTGCACCGAAAATATAGCATTCGGAGCTGTTTGTTATTTTCTCTGACTCCCAGCTCATTAGGGGAAGACAGGAAAATGTTATTCTATTAATATTATGAATTAGTTAGTTTGAGTGTTTCTTTAATTGTTACTCAAAAACAGCTGAACGGATTTGGATGAAATTTTGTACTACCTATAGTTCATGATTTGGAATGTGAAATTTACCACATCATCAGCCTATTAATGTCCCCACTGCTGGGGCACAGGCCTTCCCTATGGATGGAATAGGGAGATTGGGCAATGACCCACCACGCGAGCCCAGTGCGGATTGGTGGGTGCTAACGATTGTGGATGCAACCGGGACCAACGGCTTAACGTGCCTTCCGAAGCACGGAGGAGCTCGAGATAGTAAATTTTTGGTAACCCATCCAATGACCGACCACTGCGAAAGTTGCTTAACTTCAACGATCGCAGCCGAACGCGCTAACCAGTTGCGCCATCGAGCTCCTCAATTAATTTTATTAATTTACCACATAATCTCTTTTTTCGAATGCGGGTAATAATAATCAATTTGTTCTTTCACAGATGCATCCCACATGATGGAAGTCGCACAGTGAGCGAAAGAGTATAGAAGTATTGTTTATCGATAAATAAAATTATTAATTAACACAACTGCATTGTATATGCAAAGAAAATTGTTTTTAAGACAGCCTTAATGTTGTTAAAGGCCGGCCTTTGACTAAATAACCTTAGCAGAAGCTTGACTTTTGTCATGATATCTTGACTGATGGTCGACTTTTGTCATAACACCTTGACTGAAGGTCTACTTTTGTCATAATACCTTGACTGAAAGTCGACTATGTCCCAATATTTAAGCAGAAGTTCGAATTCCGACGTAATATCTAAACAATAAGGTCGACTTTTGACTACCCACGACGCAGTTATGTTGATTAATTTTGTGATCATGTACCTACTCGAGTCATTTCCATTGAAAATTGTGATGAATAAGAATTTCACAAAGATAATTTTACAATTAAATTTTTCATGTAAGAATGTACTTTTAAGTTGTCTTTAATTAAAAGATTTGTTAAAACGTGTGTTGTTTTATTTATATTGAAATGAAATGAAATGAAAAGTCATTTATTCAGTCTAGGCTGTTACAAGCACTTGTGAAGGTCAAGAAGCTACGCCATTGATTCGCAAAACTACGGCGGGAGACCTTGTATTGAGAAGAACCGGTAAGAAACTCAGCAAGGGCTGTTTTTTTCAAGTTGTGTGTGTGTAGTGTCAAGTTGAAAAATAACTTGAGAGATACGTCTGAAGTCACCTTCCATTACATCATTTACAATATAAATATATAGTTACAATAAATTTTATAGTTAACATTATATTTAGTTTATAGGAAGCGGCATTAGATAGGTACCATATTACTGTTATGAAAAATGATTAATACCCATTAAATAACAAATTATAAGAAACACTATGTTCATGCATTACGATCATTTAGATAATCATTAAGTTTATGATAGCTCTTATTCATAAGAGTATTTTTGATCTGAGATTTAAATTTAGTCAGTGGAAGCTCAATCAGATCTAGGGGAACTTTATTATACAATGCAATACTACAACCCAGAAATGAACCTCTTGATTTTTGGAGTCTGAAACATGGAACGGCAAGCTTGTTCCTAAATCTCGTGTTAAAGTTATGGGTTTAACTTTTTTTTGCAAATGCATCATAGTTTTTTCTTACATATATTAAATTTTCATAAATGTATTGCGACGCTAGTGTTAAAATATTAATTTCTTTAATTTTTTTCTCTAAGGGATTCTCTTGCCTTTAAATTGTATATCGCGCGAACAGCTCTCTTTTGCAGTATGAAAATACTTTCGATATTAGCGGCTGAGCCCCAGAACAAAAGGCCATATTGACATGTGGACATATTGTCACAAACGCCCTCGAAACAGAACCGCGAACATACTGGAAACATTTAACCAGAGCGCCGCGGCTTGAGGCCGAATGGTGCGGTTCATTCTCATATGAGCCTTATGCAATGCGGCGTAAGGGTGAAAGTGCAACAACATCTGCACTTGTTTACAACGACCAACTTCATGCTGTTACTTTTGTGTTTACCGCACATTAAGAAAATGTACCAACAAAATAGAAATAGAATCTCTATTTAGTGGGTGCTAACGACTGCATTGTGAAGGCCTATCAAAAGTATTTATTAATCTGGAACAACGGAACCAAAGCGCGATTCAGGAGACTACAGTGCCATCTCTTGACCATTGGTATAGTAGAACCAAAAACCACATCTTTATTTTTTGTAATAAAGTAACAGATAGGTATTCATATTTATAATATTTATCCACATGTTTTTAGTTTGTATATTCGGAATACGTGTTTGAGTTTCATACAAGTGCAAATCACATATGTTCTAATAAATTATATTCAGTAGCGATTTTAATTGAATATTTTGATTATGTATTTATTTTTTCAAATTAAAACTGAACTTTATTGACTGTGTCCTTTTCCGGACTTTTTATTAATTTATTGTAATTAATAAATAAAAAAATGCATGCAATTAAAAACTAATTTTAAACGATGCCAAAGAAGGATAACTTCTCACGCGCCTACATGAGTACACGCACCCATTTTTTTATTGACGTTTCGCAGCCTTTTCAGGTCTGCATCGTCAGAATAATGATTATTCTGACGATGCAGACCTGACCAAAAGGCCAAAGTTAAGGGAAACTAACACCATTGAATTTCCTAAAGAGATGCCGAGACATTATTCAATTTCCTGAAGAGATCATCATCAGCCTATTAATGTCCCCACTGCTGGGGCACAGGCTATCCACAGGATGGAATAGGGAGATTGGGCTATGATGGGTCATGGTCGTGGTGGGACCACGCGGACCCAGTGCGGATTGGTGGGTGCTAACGACTGCGGATGCAGCCGGGACCAACGGCTTAACGTGCCTTCCGAAGCACGGAGGAACTCCAGATAGTAAATTTTTGGTCACCCATCCAATCACCGACCACTGCGAAAGTTGCTTAACTTCAACGATCGCAGCCGAACGCGCTAACCACTTGCGCCATCGAGCTACTCAATAAGAAACAAATAAGTTCTCATTATTATTCTTCCTTATCCCTCCAACACCTTTCTTCAGAAGACCACGCGCGCTGGCCTACGTTGCCACCGGCTTACTGAGGCCACTATTCCTACACGAACAAAGAAATTTGGTGGCTCTTTTCTTTGTCGTACTATTCGTAAGTGGAATTCTTTGCCCGCGCACGTGTTCCCTCCTTCCTACAATCTAGGATCCTTTAAGAGAGGCGTGAAGAAGCATTTTTGCAGGCCGGCAAGGTGAGGATGGTTGGTGTGGCAGTTTATAACTGCTGTACCAGCTATCTTCGCGTTTGGACTTTATCACCACTTAACGTCAGGTGGGGTAGAGTCATTTGCCTACCTGGCTATATAAAAAAATAAAAAGTAATTTGAGTTTCAACCGCGATTTCGGAACGAATACAAAGGCGATTAAAGTGTAAGTGTTCAAGTGCGATTGTTTAAAGACTTGTATAGTGTACAATGAGGAGCTCGATGGCGCAAGTGGTCAGCGCGTTCGGCTGCGATTGTTGAAGTTAAGCAATTTTCGCAGTGGTCGGTCATTGGATGGGTGACCAAAAATTTACTATCCCGAGCTACTCCGTGTTTCGGAAGGCACGTTAAGCCGTTGGTCCCGGCTGCATCTGCAGTCGTTAGCACCCGCCAATCCACACTGCGCCCGCATGGTGGATCATGGCCCAATCTCTATTCCATCCATAGGGAAGGCCTGTGCCCCAGCAGTGGGGACATTAATAGGCTGATGGTGATAGTGTACAGTGAGTATAGTACTGTGTGTTTAAGAAAGAACTGTCAAGCAGACCCGTCTTTCCCAGTGGGCACTTTGATGGATTTTGACTCAGATCAAATGCAAAGTCCCTAGTTCCTGTTAAATCACCAAATGGAAGTCTTAGGGGCCCCATTATCCTAATATGCCCAGGGCCTCCAATAGGTCAAAGACGGCACTGCTGTCAAGCATATAATTTCGACCTCCATCCCGAGACGTAACAATATTTTATTTAGTAATCTAAACAGACTGGGTAATGCGTTGGGTATATACCTTATTTTAACAATATCGTATATACATATAAATCAGTACCCCTAGCACGAACCAATATCGAATTCGTATCGTTTGCGAGTCCGAAATGTCACTGTCAAATGTGCACTGATTTTTAGTTCTCGTTAAGTACTTTGTGCCGCTGCTGTTCAAGTTTCCATACAAAATTTTACATTGACATTACGGTTTGCAAACTATTCGAATTCAATAATGGTTTCGCGCTAGGTGTACTGTAGCCCAAGCCCGAACAACGAGCGAAAAATAGGGGTGATGACGGGGTACAGGAAAAGAAATTCTATTTAGTCCGTCAGTTAGATGATCAAAAAGTAATGGACACGTATTTTTTCTTTGGGCAATCAACCAGAAAATGACAAAGTTATAGCGCGTCAAAATTTGGGAAGGAGCTCGTGACGTCACTTTTGAGTGAATTTTCGCTTATAAGTGTACTCAAACGTGACGTCATGCGACTTTTCAAATCAATATATCTCTGCAATGTTTATATTATGTGAAATAAGAAAAAATACGTGTCCAATACTTTTTGATAATCTACCTGATAAACGAAGAAAAAAAAAATAGTCATCATCCCTATTACTCGTATTGTCACGTCAACGTTTCTATGGTGATCTGTCCAAATCAACGATATTAAATACCTTAAATACACCACGTGCACAAATATAAAATATTAAATAATAATCTCTTATCTATTAGACAAGTCCGTCCGTCCGTCTGTCTGTGGTGCTGTTTCAGCGGCCAAACCGTAAGAGATAGATAAAGAGAATATTTAAGTTATAAGTTAAGAATAGTCTGATAAGACTACAAACCGGATTTGAGTAACGTAGCACTTTCGGTTTTCGAGAAATCACGAATTTCAAACGAAACCACACAAAATCTCCGAAGTTCTCAATTAATTAAATACATTTTTTTTTAAATCAGGTTTTGGTGAACATTTGGTTCACTGGTTTGCTAGTTTATTTGTATTTTTGTAACAGCCTGTAGACCGCCGTACAATGGTAGCATCAATACCAAGCAAATGTTAAATGATCGTTTAACATACAGCAAGAGACGTGATAGGAAAGTGTCGAGTTAAGTCAAGCGATGGGTTACTGACTGTGACGTATTAAACATAGAGACGAAATAGATAAATGACGAGTTGTCATCGCAACCGTTAAGTCAATAAAAACGTAAAATCACTATTAAACAATAATTAGTAGCACGTGATTTATTTGCTTTTTGATGGTCCACTCATCGGTAACAAAAACAACAATCTCTTATCTATTAGACAAGTCCGTCTGTTCAGCGGCCAAACCGTAAGAGATAGATAAAGAGAATATTTAAGTTATAAGTTAAGAACAGTCTGATAAGACTACAAACCGGATTTGAGTAACGTAGCACTTCCGGTTTTCGAGAAATCAGGTTTTGGTGAACATTTGGTTGACTGGTTTGCTAGTCGATTATAATGTATAACTAATAGGGTACTATGGCACCATAGTCCAGTCAACAAGTTCAAAAACGTGAAAAATAGAGATAAAGCTCCTAAAAATATGAGCAATAGCTCATTGGATTCGGAACGACCTCTAGAAAAATGAGTTTTGAGGATTTTACTGCACGTAAAAAATTGCAATTGTTATTAACAAAATAAGATGAAAAAAAAGAGGTATTTACGTTTTTGTTAATAACTCCTAAACTATTAATATTTACGATATTTGGAAAAAAGGTCCTTAAAGAGGAGGAAATTTCCGAAAAAAAAAGTCCCAGCTCCCGGAACTCTACCTCTATTATTTATAATTTTAATTTAACGCTGAAAATAGGGCTCCGCGCAGACATTACGGCATGGGCGCACTGCCGTTAAAGACAGTTTCTTACATAAAATAATTTTTTTATAGTAACAAATATGAATTTAAAAATTTAAATAAATTATGGTGTCATCCAG